ACTCAATGGGGTCGGATGTCAGGTGGGCACAGCAAGTCGTCGGGAGCAAAAAGACCACACGATCGGAAGACTTCTAAAACTGTCGAACGGCCCTCGAGAGTTGGGCGAATGAACTTGAGTGGGTGCCAACCAACTTGCCGGCTTTCTCGAGGAACCAGGGTGCGGCTAGACATGCATCCTTGTGCCCCCCCCCCTTGGGCCTGAGACGATGCCTCCGCCCAGGATAAGGCTGATCGAATTGCGATTGGCGATAGAAAAACAGGACAGTCGAGTAGGAGATGCTTGCGGCTTTGATCTTCTCCGCACAAGCAGTGCCCTCTCGTCGCGATGCCCTGCCATCCGTCAGGTATTGCAGCGAATCATGATCAGCAGGAATCTCGTGCTCGACGGTAGGCGTGGTGTAGGTGGTCAGTGCAGCGCCAAGTCGGAAGACTACGAAGAGCGTGCGCAGCGAGTCTGACGGCATGCAGGTCGAAGAATGACTGTTGCAAAGCGAGGTTTTGCTTGGGCAACTTGGTGATCGCAGAGACGCCTGCTTTGCTTCTCAGAACTGTCAGGAGTGGATCATTGGTCGTGCCCTAGGAAGCCGCAGCTGCCTTGGCATTTGTATCTGCTCACTGCGCTCATTTGGCGCTATCGGCTGGCGGCCGTCCTGAAGGGGATCTCGAGGGCGGGATGTCCAACAGCGCGCCCTTTCCAACCCAACGCCCGAGACGGTCTAACACGCTTTCCTGGTGCGGATCACAATGTTAGGCCTTCATGCCGACGGCGGGGCAAAAAAATCCAAAAGTGAGACCTGAGATTTGGAACGCCGGAAAGCCGACCGACTTGGATGACGGCCGAGTCGGAGCCGAGTGGCGGTGTTTGTGCGAGCCCGGGGCTGAGGGCCTCGAGCTTGCTCTGCGGGCACGAAAGTTTGGAGGGTGGAGCAGCAGGGCTGCGAGCAAACAATGACGGGCCGTCTTGTGCGCTGCAGCTGCGCTTGTTTGCCCGGGGGGGCAAATCTTGGGCCGTTTCCCCAGCTTCCCGTGCCTGAAGGGCCACGCATGATGCATCCGCCTCGAACCACACCTATCGCCAAGCTCATCCATCCATCACTCCCAACGCCACCCACGTCTATTGTCGACATCGAGTATCGAGCCGCGAGCGCACGCGAAAAGGCTTGCGGGTAAAACGTGTGGGCTGCTCTTCAACGCGCGCGCGTGGACGACCATGGCTTGCATCTAAGCCCCACAACTTTTGCGTCCACTGGTTCCTTTGCGGGGGTTGACTACTACCACCACCGACAAGACGATACGATGCCGCATCTGCCAAGAGTGCCTGCCTTCCCCATTGCGGGAGAGCGCAGTTTGCTGACTGCTGCAGGGGCGGCACTTAAGATTCCCGCCAAGGAGAAAGACTCGCCACTCATCGGACACTTTGCACCCGAAATCATCGCCAGTGATCATCTCGGTCGCACAGTGTCGCTGCATGCCACCATCGCACTCGGTCGACCCATCGTACTGTACTTCTTCCCCCTCGCAGGATCACCACACTGCACAAAGGAGAGCTGTTCGTTCAGAGACGCGGTAGGTGCCTCGCCGATCTTCAACGATCTCAACGCGGTGGTGATTGGGATCTCCCAAGACCCGCCTGCTCGTTCGCGCCGGTTCGTCGACGAACACCACCTCGGTTTTAGGATTCTGCACGACTCGCAGCGACATATTATGGATGCCTGGGGCGTAGGAAGGGGTCTGTTGGGGTTGATCGATGGACGCTGTACGTTTGTCATCGACCACACGGGTGTGGTCAGAGCGATGCTCGATGGGGTCTGGGACTATCAGGGCCACCGAAACTTTGCGGAAAAATGGCTGTGCAGGATCGAACACGAGCTGTCGGGGAGGGAGAGGTTCTACATGGCCTATGATGACGAGGGTGTGGCATGCGAACAGGCGAATGTCAAGGTGGTCTATGGCGACCTTGTTCCGGGGAGGGGAATTGCGGCTGCACCGAGACATGGAGCGGCACCGTCGGCGAAGAGTTCACTCAAGTCACTCAAGCCGACAGCAACGAGTCTGCAGGACGAACAGTCGATGGGTAGGGCGAGGTCGAGACGCAATCTCAAGGCGTGGTTACGGCCGCCGGCGAGCTACGATGAGCCTCTGCATGTCGAGGCTGTAGCAACCCCCACCACCGCGCGCGGGGTGGAAGAAGAAGGGACAAGGTCGGTGGATGGCGTGGCTGCAAGGGTGCGTTCGCTCAGAGTGGACGAGGAGCAAAAGGAGCAAGAGACGAGTTCGCGCTCGAGACGGGGATCTGGTTCCGGCTCGGGGTGGGCTACACCCTCGACGATTTCGGCGCGGTCGATATCGACGGGCGAGACGAGCCATACCTCGCCCGCGCCGGTGGAGCCTGCAGCGCTGCTGAGCGCGCTTAAGGACGGAAGCAGCGATGCTGGGCTCGAGCGTACGGCGCGTCGTCGTGTGGATTCATCCGCCCCCAGCGTCGTGGGCAGGTCGAGCTCGCTGCGCTCGCAAGAGGTGTATGCCAACGGAAACATTGCACGCATGCCGCTCACGGGCAGTAGCGATACGCGCGCACGACGCGATGTCTCTGCCGACACCACCTTTTCCTCATCCTCGCTACCTGTTCCACCCAGGCCTGCAGCTCGCCTCGTGGGGGGTGCAGTTGCAGCCGCCGCCGAAGCACGCCTAGACGCAAGCAGATTCGACCCCGCATTGCCGTCGTCACCCATCGAACCGGGATCGACAGATGCACCCCGATTGCGCAAGCCCGTCTCCCCAGCAACCCCAGCGAGGACGAGGGGGATGCCCAGTCCTTCCGTGGGGGTTGGATTTGCATGGAACGAGAGGAGACTGTCCAATACGCCGAGTCTGGCAGCCTCGACGACGAGTGCATGCGAACGGAGCGAGTACGACTACTCACCCTCGCTCGCCGAAAGCACGCACACTTTTGGCGGACTAGATGATTAGCGCCTTGAATACCACATTTTGCCTGGGATTCGTATGTGTGTGTTTGGGTGCGGATTACTTTTTGCCGTTTTGCTGTGCCCGTGCCTGTGCCGCCACCTGAGCTTGATACTGAACCCCCTCGCACACAAAGATGTCAGTGGGCCGAAATGGTGGCGAGGGAAGGATGGGGCTTACCTTCTCGAGAAAGTCCTTTTCACGACGGAAGAGGAGGATGTGCGGTTCGGGCGCGTGCACCTCGTAGTGCTCCCAGCCGACGCTCTGGGTGATGCCGATATCGCGCCACTCCTTGACGGCGAGGATGCGCAGAACCCCCGGCTCGGCCGGGTCAAAGTACGATTCCGGAAGCAGTTTGAGCATTGGCTTTGGCAGAATCACATGGCTATCCAACAACGAAGTGTCAGCCACTTGGATCCTACGAGCAACCGAAGCTGTGCGGATGAAGAGGGTTGGGGGCTTACCGATATTCCCATTCATCGTCGTTGTACTTGTCGCTGTAATGAATCCTGCTCGACCCCCCAAATGTCAGCAACCCATCCAAGTCAAAAGGAAAGGAGAGGGGGTTGGAGGCTTACCGTTCGAGGTAGTCTTCGTACGTGGGCTCTTTTGGGTCCTTTGCATCGTCCTTCGACATGGTGGCGGTGTGAGGCGGTTAAGGAGGTGGTGGAATGAGGAGATGGTGTTGGTTGCAGTCGCGCGCGCGTCCTTGACGCCGAGCCTCATGCACGGTGCGCCCAAATCGCGCGCGCTCTGCCCGCACCTTTTTTCCAAATTGAATCCGCCCCCAACACTCTTACATGCACAAAAAGCCATCCCACACCATCATCCGTATTCTACCTTGGCTTTCGCTCACAATCGCACACACCTCACAGCACAGCATGGATCGGGCTGGCCGAAGCAGACAGAGAGGAAATAGGCAGCATTGAATGGCAGACGCAGCCAATCTCCCCCCCAAAAAGAAGCAAAAGAGAAAGAAAGGTGTTGGTCTCACGCGCGCCCCACAGCCTGCTCGTCCAATTTTTCCCCCAGCCGCGCGCGCGTCTGTTTCAACGCGCCGTTTTTCACCCCCAACCGGCTCTCAGCAAGAAAGAGACTCTGGTATTCACAAACGAAACATGATCTCGGCGGTGGATGCGCTAGGAGCCGCCATTGACCTTGTCGCGCAGCTGGCCGATGAACTGCATGTAGCTCGGCGTCTGTTCGAAGCGGTCCTCGATAAGCAGGCTGAGTGCCCACAGCCGGAGGCTCGGCTCGCCGTCCTCCTTGACGACGTACAGATGCGGGCGGTACGGACCGCGCCTGCTCTCGCGGATGCGCGCCACAATCGCATTGACGCGCGCGTTCATGCTGTTCTCCAGCTTGGGCAGCGTCGTCTTGCCACCGCGCAGCGCACCGTAGTTCTGCACATCAAACACGTCCATACACAGCTGCGGTACCGCCTCCCTGCCAACCCAAAGGAAGATGTTCTGGCCATCTTCGATCAGGTACAGACCGTGGCGTTCGAAGCGCTCCGAAGTGAGGTTGAGCTTGGCCGGCATGATGAAGCCCTTGTCTGCAACGGTGGTACCCGCGTCGGGAGCCATGTTGTGCAAGCAGTAGAAGCTCGGATGCAGGTAGGGGATGAGCTGCTGCGCAGGGAGCGTGGTGAGCAGCGCCTGCGCATAGGCACGCAGATCCGACGGAATCGACGCCGACTGTCGAATACCCACGTGCTTGAGCAGCGCCAGCACAAGCAGCGGCAACTGCGCCATATTCTGCGCAATGCTCAACTGCGGACTCGCTCCACTACCCGCCGAAGTCATGGTCGACTTGTACGTCGAAAAGATCTCGACGAGCTTGTTGAACAGCGCATCGCGCGCATCCTCGAGCCTCGAGTGGATGCTCCTTTCCACCGCCTTATCGGCCAGCAGCGTAGCAATCGCCACCTGATCCGCGTTGGCGTACACCTCGGACATGCTCGTCGTCGTAGGCAGCGCAAGGTTAACCACGCGGATGCGACGTTCGCCCGAGCTGGTACTGTGCAGCACCACGGACTGGAACACGACAAAGGGCGCGTTGATGGTCTCCTCAATCTCGCACTCGATCGCATAGCTCTGGTCGAGCGGCACCGCCGGCAGCGCCAGCAGATCGGTGGAGCGCACGAAAAAGTTGCCGTGGAACGCCGTGGCGCGGATGCCCTTGGTGGCACGCAGACGCAGCACCGCCTCGTAGCTGATGGGGCTGGCGAGCACCTCGGAGAGCTCGTGCGACAGTTTGACGGCATCCTCGGTGCGGCCGGCGTGGAAGGCGGGATAGAAGAACGTCTGTCCACCCGTGTAGCGCGGGAGGCACGAGAGCGTCGCCACGTCGGTGTACGACGAGGCAAACAAAAACATGTCCACCGACACCTGCGAGCGCGAGCAGTCGATGGGGAAGGTTTTGTAGAACGACGAGGCGGCGGCGAGCAGCGTGGACTCCTTGGCGGTGCCGAGCAGCTTGGGATCCTCGCGGTTCTTGAGCGCACCGGGCCCGACGCTGGGGAGCGAAGCGGTGAGCACCATGATCTTGCCGCCGATGGGCGAGATGAGCTTGTAGGCGGCCTGGAGCGCGGCGCCGAGCGCCGAACCGGTGACGAGCGAGTCCTTGTACATGTCGCCGAGGCGCTGGAGCAGCGCGTCGACGCCGGCGCGGCACTCGGTGAGGTTGACGAGCAGATCGTTGGGCTTGGGCAGGAAGACGTCGTCGAGGTCGCTCACCACGAGCATCTCGGGCTCGGTGGACTCGGGCGTGATGCTGAAAAAGTGGAGGCTCGTGTCGACGCCGATGATGCAGATCTTGGCGCGGTTGTCCGAGTTGGGCAGACGGTCGAGCGTCTCGAGGATGGTGCGTGCGGCGGTGGCGACCATGCCCGAGTTGATGGCGTGGTAGCTGACGTCGATCAGAAACGTGTACACGGGCGGCTGCGGCGGGCGCACCATGTACTCGCGCGGCGCGATGAACTCGACCACCGAATGGTTGAGCTCGGGGCGCTGCCATCGGTCCGCGGGCTGGTTGGTCTCCGAGTTCCAGTCAAAGAGCTGCGGCACCTCGTTGGAGATGTTGCACATGCAGCACTTCCAGCGGTTGCCGTTCTCGATGAAGGTGACGTACGGGTTGATGTAGGTGCGGCAGCGACGGCAGCGCGCGATGACGGTGTCGGTGACGACGGGCACGGGCTCGTCGCCGTCCTGCTCGCGCACGGAGCGGTAGGGGGAGAGGACGAGGCCGAGGGGGATCTTTGATTTTTGGAGGAGCGAGGATGTGGTGGGGATGGCGTTGAGCGTGCATCGCTGGTAGGAGGGGTCTGCGTTGGCCTTGGGGTTGGTGGAGACGCAGGCGTTGGGCGGGAGGCGGATCTCGGGGGGCGGACGCTCGAGGTCGTTGACGTTGGGCTGTACGCCGCTGATGTTGACGGTCTGGAGCGTGCTGAACTTTTGGCCCATGCCAGCCGCAGCGCCACCGCCCATGCCCATGCCCATGCCCTGGAACTGGTTGGTGAGGCCCTGGACGTTGTTGCCGGGGTAGCCTGGAGCGACGCCGTGAGCCGGCACGCCGGGCGCCGACGCCATAATGGGTGCACCGGGTGCGGGTTGAGCTGCACCGTACGGAGCTGGGACGGGCTCGGGAGCGCCCGGGGTGAAGAGCTGGGGCTGGGCATCGTGCGCGCCTTGGTAGGCGGCGTTGGGGGTGGCAGCTGCATCGTAGGCGCCTGCGTAGCTGATGCTGTTGGCGGCGAGGTGTGCGGTCGGGTAGGCGCGTCTGCGGCTGGCACCGGGACCGATGGAAGCAGGAGGTGGTGCACCGGCGGCGGGAGGACTGACGGGCGCGCCGGGGCCGTGGGCAGGGATGGGGCTGAGCGAAGGCCCACGCATGCCTGGAGGCGGCTGGATCTGAGGCATGGACATGCGAGCCTGACCCTGAGGGTGGGTGGGACGTTGCTGGTTTGGAGGCGGAGCGGTTCCAGCGGGTGCACCAGGAGCAGGAGGCTGCCAGCTGGTCCTTCCGGTGGCGGTCTCGACAAAGACCTGACGGCCTGCGTTCTGGTCCCACTGGGTCACCCAGCCAGGGGGCAGCTGGGGAGGCGGTTGAGCCATGGCTGTGCGAGAGTTGAAAGTGGCGGCTGCTCTTGCTGCTTTGAGGGTTGACTGCTGTGATGCTGGGTGGTGTCCAAGAGCAGATGCAGACGAAGCGGGCGAGATGATGGATGGGGGCGAGGAAGGATGGAAGGGAGGAAGAGAAGATCGATTGACCGACTGCGTGACTGACACACACACACACACACACACTCTCTCTCTCTCTCACTCAGCGCACGGCCAGCTCTGTCTCTCTCTGTCTCTCGCGGGCGGGGCTCAGAAACACGACACCTGGCAGCTCTTCCTTCTGATTCTGACTGGCTGGCGGATTGGCGGGGAGACGCAGCGCACACGCCACGCTCGCCGCTCCAACTGCAACGCAGCGCGCCACTCTCTCTCTGGATTTCGGAATTTCGCGCACAGCTTCCACGTCGTTGTGGGCTCTGTCTCTCTCTCTCCTCTCTCCCGCAATTGGATCTGGCCGATCGCAACAGATCGGTGAAGCGATCGGCTCCCAATAAGACCCTCGCGATATTTTGTCGGCTCTTCCGCACTCTTGCGCCCCGGCAACTTCTGCGCAGACGAGACCCTTCTTCCTCCCTGCCTCTCCTCCTCCTCCTCCTCCTCCTCCTCCCCAACAACTGCTCACATCGACTCAGCCGGCTTTGATCCGACATCACTACGGCGCACTGCCCTGGAAGACCAGCAGCGCCCACCATGTCGCGCCGCGGCTATGGCTCCAACTGGCACGGCTCCCACAACCCCAACATGGCGCCGCTCCCACCTCGTCCGCGCGGCGGTATAGGCAACAGCAGCAGCAGCAGCTCGCACGCGCCTCCCAGCTATGGCCATCCCGCGCCCTCCTCCCACTCGGCATATGGCAGCCCGCATACGCACGCCTCGCCCTTTGCGGGTTCGCACAGTCCCGCCTCCGAGTCCAACGGCGGTGCGGCGTCGTCGAGCACACCCGAGGTGGCCACCACGCTGTTTGTGGGGAGCATCTCGCCCGGCATCTCGGACTCTTGGCTCACACGGCTGCTCGAAGCGTGCGGCCACCTGCGCTCGCTCAAGCGCGCATCCAAGGCGTTTGGCTTTGCCGAGTACGCCGACCCGGACTCGGTGCTGCGCGCCATCCACGTGCTGCAGGGCCTCCAACTGCCCTCCATGGGCGCCGAAGCATCAGCGCCACCCAAGAAGCTGGTGGTCAAGGCGGACGAACGCACGAAAAGGTTCCTCGACAAGTACCAGCACACGCGCGTGGCGAGCGCCACCGATCGCGCCAACGACGACCGCGCCCACACGGCTGTCAGACACGTCGTCCGCAACATGTCCGATCCCAACGCAGAGGTCGAGGTAGACCCGTCGAGGCCTGGCTACGTCGTGCCGGATCATCTGAAGGATTTGCCGCCCGAGGAGCTGCCCGAGGACCAGCGCGCCACGGTGCTGTCCGAGATCGAGCAGTTCCGACTGGCGGCAGCTGCGCGCGACGCCGAGACGCGCCGGAGAGAAGCCGAGTTCGAGCGCCAACGCGCCGTGGAACGTGCGCGGCGTGCGGACCTGCAAGCGTCGTCCTCCCGCAACGGCGAGGATGCACAGAGCTACCGCAAGCCGGTGGACTTTCATGCGGCGAGTTCGTACGATGCGCAGGCGGACGTTGTTCGGGAGCCCGAGGATGCGGATCAAGTGGCAGAGGACGAGCGCCGTGAGCGCGCGCAAGCTTCTGCACGCGCAGCGGCGTCGGATGCCGAGCGGGCGTACCTCGTACGCGAGCGGCAGAGGTTGACGCACTGGCAGAAGGAGGCGGACCGACAAGCGGCGGATGCCGAGCGATGCGAACGAGATGCAGCGGTGCAGTTGCGGCGATGGACCGAGTGGAGCGACGAAAGCGCCACGCGCAAGGAGCTGTTCTACACCGACCGTCCGCGGTGGCGCCAATTTCGAGCCTCCGCACGGCGCCGGGAGCAAGAAGCGGATGCAGCGGACCGCGAGATGGAGCAGGACGAAAAAGCGCGTGCCCAACAGGAGTCCGAGACGTTCCTCGCACAGCAGGCGGCGGAGATGGCGCGGCTTACGCAGCAGCAGCGTGCAGCGGGTGTGCTGGTCGACAACTCCCTGGCGCCCATCAAGATCACATTCACCGGTACCGAACCCACCCCCTCAGCCACAGCTGGTAACGCAGTGGGTAAGGTGTTGGGTGAGGAGGAAGACGAGCAGAAACGCGGACTCAAACACATCCACCTCGGCGAAGAACTCTCTGCTTCCGAGCGCGAGAAACAATTGGCGGCGATTGCAGCGGGGCTACCCAAGGATACGGCGGAGTTGCTGGCGCAAACGCCGGGGTGGGAGTGGATCGACGAGGCGATGGTGCGCAAGTACCGCGGCTGGGTGGATGCGCAGATCGAGGAGAGTCTGGGCGAAAAGGTGGACGAGCTGGTGAATGTCGTCGTCGAGACGATCCAGTCGCATGCGAGTGCCAGTGCGCTCGTCGAGGTGGTCGAGCCTGTGCTGGATGACGAGGCCGAAGCGTTTGTGGAGAAGCTGTGGCGTTTGGTGTTGGTCGACTCGCAGGCGGCTGCTGCCGGAATCACGGCGTAGCGCACACACACAAACACACGTGTAATGTAGATGTGTGATATACGCCTGTCAAGCACTACTCGTTGCTCATACTGTTGTGGACAGGCTTTTGAGGGATGAAAGAGTGGTTGGGTTGGGAGAAGTGGGGGGATGTTAAGATGGACGAGTGCGGGGGAGTTTAGATGCCGGGTCGGTGAATTTGCGCGTCACTCGGCCACACACGCGTGCGCAAAGCCCAGCCTGGCCGAGTGACGTACAACCACACCCCCATTGCGCACAGTCATCTCTTTGTTGTTCTTGCCCCACCACCACCACCATCCTCCCATCTGCTTCTATTCGGCATGTCTGCATTTTCGCGCTTTATTGCGGCGACATCATCCACGCTTCCACGGCAATGTCTTACTGGTGGGGTCCTATTCGCGACCGGCGATACGATCGCGCAGCAACTGGTTGAAAAACGTCGCTCCCACGACTATCCTCGAACCTTCCGTCTGGCCCTGTACGGCGGGTGTGTCTTTAGCCCGCTCGCCTCGCTTTGGTTCGGCAAGGTTCTAGAACGCGTCCAGTTCGCCTCGAAACCCGCCAATATCGCCGCCAAAGTTGCGCTGGATCAAGGTATCGCCTCTCCGGCGTTTATCGCGCTTTTCTTCGGTACGACCACCCTCATGAATGGTGGTTCCCCGCAAGATGCAAAGAAGAAGATCCAGGACAACTGGTGGCCAACCCTCAAAACTGCCTGGGGTCTCTGGATCCCGGTTCAGACGATCAACATGGCAGTCGTCCCACCGATGCAAAGACTGCTCTTTGTTAATGTTGTTAGCATTGCTTGGAACACGTTCCTCAGCATCAAAAGTGGCGCACAACAACCAACTTCCCCCCAGACAGAACTCACTCAAATAAGACTAGACTAGACCACAATCCCCCCCCACACACGCGCGCGCGCGCGCAAAACGCAAATGCAATCCTAGAAAGTCTTGTGACATTACTGCGGTCGTATGGCTTGATCGCTCTTTTGCGAGCGCAGGCGTGCCGATGAGGGCGTGGCGATTTCCGACCGCGTAGTAGCATATCCCGGTCGGGAGGCGTAACCTCCTCCCCAACCAAAGCCAGGCGGCGCGTAGAATGGTTGCTGTGCATACATCGGATACGCATACTGCGCCATACTCGCCCCGGCCGAGGTGGTATTGGCAGGCGCAGGTGGTGGAGCCATCATCATGGACAACATAGGCTGCCCACCCTGGCCCCCTTGCCCCTGCCCCATCGGTGCATTTGTGTCCAGCTCGCTCGTCGAAGGCGTCCTCGAATGCGCTCTCCTGGCCGCTCCGGGATTCTGCACACTCGGTTGCATAAATGCCGCCAAGGGTGCACCTCCCTGGGCACTGTTCCCATTCGCACCCGCGCCCAAATGACTCCCACCCACACCCACACTGGCCGCGCGGCCGTAGTATTGCTGCTGCTGACGCTGCATCGCGAGATAGTGCGCTTGGTGTGCGAGCATGGGGTTCGCCATCATGGCCATGTAGTTGCGCATGTACTGCTCGTGCATCTCCGCCTGCCCCTGCTGCACGTTGAGCTGCGACAAGTGCTGGGCACTCAACTGCCCCTCTGCACCCACAGTGGCATCGACAGCGGGAGAGGTGCTGGCAGGTCGAGCTACGGGACTCGCCATGGAGCTGCGCGACGAACTCGTCATCGGTGATGCCGCGCGCAAGGCCGGCGATACGGCCGTCGGACTCGTGGGTGATGGTAGAGCGTGGTCGGCGAGCGCGCCTCGCGACGCTGCGTCGGGTGCCAGCTGTCCACCGCGCCCTTGGTCAGTGCTGCGTCGCACGCGCGGAGGCGGCACCACACTTCCCCCCGACACGCCAGCCGGAGCTTCCGCAGCCGAGACCGAGCGCCGATGCTCGCCCCACGCGGGGGACGGCGCATTCTCGATCTCGCCAATCACATCAATAAGCGTACGTCGCCGGCCGCTCGCATCCACATGCTTGCCCAGCACGCGCGCCGAGTCAAAGCCCTGTCCGCGCAGCCCATTCGCCGGCGACGGCCCCTCCTCCCCCACGCCCCTATCACCACTACCGCCGGCATTCTGCTGGTCCAGCGCCGAGTTCGAACCGCCAAACAGACCCGAGAGCGTGCCGGCTGCAGCGGCACGCACGGCCGACAGCTGCTCCGTGTAGCTCAGCGGCGAGCCGGACGGTCTAGCTGCGGGAAAGGTGCCGTTGGTCGTAGCCGTGTCGACGTGGATGCCCGGCTGGTCGAGCGACTTGCCCCTGCGTCCCAACTCGTCGGACGACATCGATGCCCGCTTGACGCTCGGCAGCACCGCGGGCGGCACGAGCTCGCCACTCGACCCGCCACGCTCGACGGCAGGACGCTCCGACACAAAGAGGCGGCCGAGCTTGATGCCCACCCGGTCGATGGACGAGGTGGCGCGCTGCACCGCGCGTTGGATGTCGTCGGTGACCTGGTCGAGCGTCTTGCCCGCATCGATGGTGACCCACCGTCCGCCATGCGCCTTGACGTCCTGCGCAACCCGACTGAAAGCCTCGCGCACTTTAGCCTGGAACTCGAGCTTCTCGTATCTCTCCTCTCCATACCCGCCGCGCGCAGCGGCGGTCTGGGCGTCCAGATCCAAAAACAGCGTGAGGTCGGGCAGCGGCAGCCCAATGTCCGGATGGCGGCACCAGTCGTACGAGAGCCCTTTGCTGACCGAGTAGGCGATGCCGGAAAAGGCGTAGCGGTCGCATACGATGCTCTCGCCCGCGTCGAGCGTCTTGTGGATGGCGGCGACGCACTCCCACCGATTGGCCGAAAAGAGCAGATGGATCGCCTGGTCGTCCAGCTCGCTCGTCTGCGCGAGGTACGAGTTGATCATCTGGCCGATGGCGGTGGTCCTTTCCGGAAACTTGATGGGCTTGGCGTTGAGGTGCTGTGCGAGCCTCTCGACCTGCGTGCTCTTGCCTGCGCGGTCGAGGCCCTCGACGACGATGAAGAAGCCGCGCTTGCGACGATGCTGATGGTCCTCTGCAGCGGGTGCGAGCACGGGCGAGGAGACGGTGGTGGGGCCTGTGCTCCTGCGCCGGTCGGGATCGACGGGCCGAACGGCGCGCTGGTTGGTCTGCGCAAGCACGGCTTCCATAGCCGCAAGATCCTGCGACGGTGTGCGCGATCGAGGCGGACGGCCAGCGTGGATGTTGTCGAGCGTGGGGATGGTGCCGCTTTCGCTGCGCTGACGTGCGGCCTGGCGGAACTTGGCGGCCGAGATGCTGGCGGGCTTTGCGTTGGCGACGGGGCTGGTGGAGTGTGCGCGGTTGATGTCGGGCGACTTGGCGCGGGAGGAGGGTTCGTCGACGAAACGCGGCTCGGGAAGCTCCTCGCCCGGGGTGACGTATTCGTCGACCGAGATGATGCTGTGCACTCTGGAGTGGGCGCCTGCACTGGGAGCGCTGGCGCTGGGGTCGTCGGTGTGCGAGACGTCGCTGGCGGACCGGACGTTGCGGAAGGAGTGCAGGCTAAAAGTGCCGCTTGTGGGGGCGTCGACGTTGGCGCTCGGGGCGGGCGAATGCGTGCGCGAGATGTTGTGCGGATCGGACGTTCTGCGCGTGTTGTTGGTCGTCGTTGCGGCGAGGTTGCTGCTGAGCCTGCGCGTCCTGGTGGTGGAGGGAGGATAGTGGGAACGCGAGCCGAGGTTGTTGGGGACCGAGGGCGAGGTGGGCGCGGCGAAAGAGGGCATGGAGGGGTCGGGCGTAGGTGCTGAGAGCGATATCCTAGGAGGCGCTTCGAGGACCTGGGGCGAGTCCTGGGTGGAGATGCGACTTTGCGAACGGTAGACGGCGTCCTGGGTGGAGGACTGGAGCGACGAGTGGAAGGAGGTGGTGCTGCGGTTGGGCGGTTTGCGAACGACCTCGAAGGAGGGTGGCGGCTTCTTGGACGACTTGAAGGCATCAAAGAGCCTGGAAGTGCGGCGCGAGGACTTGCCGTCTGATGCTTGAGACTGACCCAAAGCGCGGAGGCGAGAGAAGGTGCCGGTGCCGGTGCCGGTGGATGCGGCCGGATCGGAGCGCGGTGGGGTATCCGGATCGGCTGGCTTGCGCAGAGAGAGGCTGGAAGGAAAGTTCTTGATCCTCATGAGGTCGGTGGACATTTTTCTGCGTGGGCTGCGTTCCGGTTCGGGGTTGGTGGCAGCAGCAGCAGCGGCGGCGTGCGCCGAGGTGGTTCGGAGAGCCGACATGGTGTGGAGCGTAGAGTCAAGGCAAGGCAAGGATGCCTCTAGTGCGAAGGCTGCATGTCTGTCGGAATGGCTCGTGTTGGGATTAGGAGACGGGAGGCGGCGATGGTGGAGAGAGGAAAGCAGCGAGGAGACGCGCCCCTCCTCCTCCTCCTCCTCCGCATGGATCTCTGGGCTGAGCTGCTCTGGCCATTGAGTTGGTTCAGGGTCCGGCCCGCCCTTCTTTTGGTTATACGCGACTCTCTCTCGACTCTCTCTCGATCGGGCGGCGCTTGGCGAGTGGACGAGGCGTCTTCTTGGCGTTTCTGCCGGCGTATCGGCTGATTTCTCGCGTTGGATCTGGAGAGTTGGCGAGGCGATCCGTGCGAGAAATTGGTGGTTGGCCGCCGCCGCCGCCGCGTTCTGCTGCCCAAAAAAGTGGAGAAGCGGCGGCGGAGCTATCACGCCTTCTTCTGCACATCCACCATCGCATTTGGACCATGCCTCCCGTCAAGGCAGAGCCTTCTGCCGCCACATCGGTGGGCAACATCAAGTCCGAACATGGTCGGGCCGCTGCTAACCAGCGAGGTCGCCCTGCCAACGGCAACAACCCTGCTGCCGGCCGATCCAGCCTCAAGCCTGACGCCGACGAGGGCGAGGACAAGAAGAATGCGCCTCCGCCGCCACCTACGACGTACCGTGACATTCCGCTGCTCTCCACCGACTGCGGCCAGTGGCTCACGCACCTCATGAAGTTTGCGCACCACACGCGCGTCGACCCCAACGACTCGGCGCAGTTCATCCCGCCGCTCAAGCTCAACCGCAAGAATCCGCCGCGGCTCAAGCTGCCCAGGCCCAACCCGGGCGATCCCATCACGGACAAGTACAACCGCCCCATGATGGGCAAGGACGGCCAGCCGCTCACATGGCCTGCGCCCGACGACGATCTGCAGCGCATCGAGGAGGTCATCCGGAAGGAGGTGGCAGCCAAGGGTCCCGGTGCAGACCAGAGCCTCATCGCACCCGGCGGCAGCGCGCGTCCACCCAAGAGCAAGCTGTTCAAGAAAAAGGTGCGCGAGATCCACAAGGCCGCCGACAGCGCGCGCAAGACCATGAAGGAGGAACACTTCCCCTGGGTGCTCGAGGACTTTGAGACCTCCGACGAGTGGGAGAGCATCCGCACGCCCATCCCCACCGGTGCACGCGCGCTCCAGGAACACATCGACGAGCTCAAGGCCAAACGCGACGGCAAGCAAGCCTCGGACTCGGATGTCAAGATGCACGATTCCACGGGCGGCGCCGTCAAGATCGAGGCGAGCGCCGCTGCTGCTTCGTCTTCGTCCTCATCTACGTCGCACGCACCCTGGGTGGGAAAGCTCGAGGGCGATTCCGGGTCGGAGGCGTCGTCGCTGCACGTGCTGTTCGTGTTTGACGAGCGCGACGCGGGTGGATTCAAGGTGGTGCCGGTGTCGCGCATGTACAAGTTCCTGCAGAAGCCCAAGCACTCTACGCTGACCAACGAGCAGGTGGAGCTGGAGTATCAAAAGTACCAAAAGACCAAGGAGATGGATCGATGGGCGCTGCGCAACAAGCCCGTCTCGGCGTCGGCGTCGACGTCCAAGCACGAAGACAGCGCGGCGTGGCGCAACTGGCCGCAGGTGAACCAGCTCACGCTGCCCACGGGTATGTCGTTTTCCACCGGCCGCCGTCGCAATCTCATGGCGGTGCACGGCGGGGAGCTGTTGCGCGACGACGATGACGACGACGGTGCTGGGTCGCGCCGACGCAAGCGCGACGACAGCCCGGGGGCCGGATACGACGAGCTGGACTACGAGGAGGAGTTTGCGGACGACGACGAGGTGCACGATCCCGAGGCGGATGTGGCGGAGGACGAAGAGGCCAAGGAGCTCGAGGAGAGGCTGAAGCGCGAGATGGCGCGTGCGAACCATGCGGGCGAGGAAGAGGAAGAGGAGGTGGTGGGTGCGGCCGAGGATGAGGATCAGATGCTGACGGGGAGTGGCAAGCAGATGATGAAGATCATGCGTGCGCTGGCGAAGCGCGATGGCAACGAGGCGTACGACAAGGACGACGACGGACGCAATCCGTATGCGTCGGACGATTCGGACGACGACGAGGAGTCGTATGTGGCCAATCCGGAAAAGGCGATCCAGCTTGCGCGCGAGGAACGCGAACGCAAGGAGAAGGAAGCGGCCAAGAACAAAAAGTCGGCGCCCGGTACGGCGTCTGTCTCGGGATCGAATACGCCCACCGACCGGGTGGAGAAGAAGCCAGTGCAGCTTGGTGGTGCGCAAGCCTCTCGGCCTGGAGCAGGACACGCTAGTTTGGCACAGCGAGCTACATCGCCCACACGCGGAGCGTCCAAGATCGGCAGCAAGCAAGTGAGCCGCTCGTCGAGTCCGAGTCTGGTTCGCGGTTCGAGCCCTGGTCGGGCTGAATCGCCGCCTGGCGACACTGCATCTGCGGGCACCAAGCGTCGAGCCGACACGCAGTCGACACCCGCCACACCGTCGAGCACGGTTCGACCCGAAGCGAAGCGGGTGAAAACCGCATCTCGAGCTGCATCACCCACTGGATCAGCTTCGGGTAGTAAGCCAGCTTCGCGCGCGGGGAGTCCTGGAGCCCCGCGTGTGCCTGCCAACGCGGTCGAGGCTGAAATCATCCAGCTCATCCGCGAGGGTAAGATCGCCAATACGAGCGAGCTCGTGCAGCACTTCCGCAAGCGGCTCAAGTCGGAACCGCACATCAAGGACCAACTCAGCGCCGCGGTGCGCAAAGTAGCCGTGATGGACAAGACCACCAACCGACTCAAGCTCAAGGATGGATTCTAAGGAAGCATCCACCCAGCAGTGGGGTTAAGCGGAATGATGGAACGAACGGCTTTTCTTTGCCAAGATGTGAGATCGGTGGTGATGGGGGCTGATGGGAGTTTGATGCACGATGAGCAGTGGCTGCGGCTGAGAAGGGGGGTTTTTTTGGAAATCCGCCGATGCAGCTGAGGCGCGCGCGTGCGTGCGTTGGAAATCCGACGCCAGTCAGAAAAAATCCCAATCGGCCGCCCATTATTTTATTTTCGCAAAGGTGAAGGAGAATTTATGCACACGCACGCCTGCATGCGCCTTCACCTCCGACACACCAGCTCGCCCACACAACGCTGCCCCCCCCCCCCCCCCCCCAAATCAGCGATGGTAGCAAGACAAGCCGCACGCAAGAAAGAGTTCAAGCCTCGTACTATAGCTTTTCTTGACAGCGACAGAGTGTTGTTGTGTCGCGGTAGCAGCAAAGCTGAGTAAAAGTGACAGGTCGGAATCGATTTTGGAATTGCATTTTTGGTTCTGAGTCCAACACCTGGCAGCTGCGAGAGCCCCCCCCCCCCCCTTGAATTTGGGGATTCCGGTGCGCTTGAGCCCGCTCCTGCCCTCGAAAAATTAGTCGGAATCGGCGTGGAAAAATGCGCGCCTCGCTTGGCTGATGCGCTGCGTTGAAATTCGGTTGGAGGCCGTCGTCGTGCTGGCAGACTGCACACTCTCAATTCCAAAGGGCGGCTCAGATCGGCGCGTCGGCCTCGAGCCCTCGAGCCCTTGAGCCCTTGAGCTGGCTGGCTGGCTCTGCTCTGATGGGCGGCGCTGCGACTCCTGTCTGATTGACACGCAGTGGTGCCCACCTAAGCCACTCGATTTCGTTGCTTGCCCTGCCCTGGCTCGCCTCCCTCGCTTCGGCCTCTCCTTCACCATACACAACCACCACCACCACCACCACCACCACCACCACCACCACCACACCCCTCGCGATATTCGGCTCCTATCCTGCTCTGCACAAGCTTCACGCACAGCACACAGACGCCTCCCCGTCGCCGAGGTGCGCACCCATGTCCGCAGCCATGCAGCCTCCTGAGGACGTCGCCAGCCTCTCCCAGCTGCAAAACATCTCCCCGGACACCATCTTCTCCGTCCTCCGCGATCGCTTCTACTCCGGTCTCCCCTACACCGCCCTCTCCGACTCCATCCTCGTCTCGGTAAACCCCTACGCCTCCTCCGGAAACCGCAACAGCGACGACTCGCTCCGCCAATACACAAGAGACTACCGCGAAACCAACAAGCAGCTCCGCGGCGCACCCTTGCCGCCCCACATCTTCGCCCACGCCTGCAATGCCTACTTTTACATGCGCCGCACCGGCCAGGACCAGAGCTTGCTCATGGCCGGCGACACCTCCAGCGGCAAGAGCGAGGTGCGCAGGCTCGCCATCCGCGCCCTCATCGACCTCAGCGTAGCCGCCCCAGGAAAGAAGGGATCCAAGCTCGCAGTCCAAATCCCCTCGGCAGAGTACATCCTCGAGGCGCTCGGAAACTCGCGCACCCTCGAAAACGCAAACGCCTCCCGCTTTGGCAAGTACACCGAACTCCAGTTCTCCGACTCGGGCAAGCTCGTCGGCGCAAAGACCCTCGACTACTACCTCGAGAAGAACCGCGTCGTCAGCGCCGCCTCCAGCGAACGCAACTTCCACATCTTCCACTACATGGTCGCAGGCGCATCCGAAGACGAGAAGCAATACCTCGGCATCACAGACGCATCCTCCTTCCGCTACCTCGGACAGGCCTCGCGCAACCGCGACTCGGACGACGCCGCCAAGTTCAACCGCCTCAAGCTCGCCTTCAAGAACCTCGGCTTCTCCAAACGCCACGTCGCCTCCATCTGCCAGCTCCTCGCCGCCATCCTCCACCTCGGCAACATCGAGTTCCACTACGACCGCCAACGCACCCAGGACTCCGCCACCGTCCGTAATCCAGACGTGCTCGAAAAGGTCGCAGAGTACCTCGGCATCCCCGCCAACTCGCTCGAGGAGGCGCTCACCTACAAGACCAAGATGATCCGCGGCGAGGTCTGCACCATCCTCCTCGACGCCGATGGCGCCTCCGACCACCGCGACGACCTCGCAAAGTCGCTCTACTCGCTCCTCTTCGCCTGGGTCAACGAGAGCCTCAACCAGAAACTCTGCCGCGACGACTTCGACACCTTCATCGGCCTCCTCGACCTCCCCGGCTTCCAGAACCTCTCCCGAGCCAACTCGCTCGACCAGTTCTGCGTCAACTTCGCCTGCGAGAGCCTCCACCGCTTCATGCTCCGCAACGTCTTCGAAAAGCGTCGCGACGAGTTTGCCGACGAGGCCATCGACACCCTCTCCCCCGACATCCCCTTCTTCGACAACGCAGAGACCCTCCGCCTCATGACCAACCAGCCCGGCGGCCTCATCCACATCATGGACGACCAGGCGCGCAGGATGCCCAAAAAGTCGGACCACACCATGATCGACGCCTTCGGCAAGCGATGGGGCAACCATCCCTCCTTCAAGGTCGGCCCCGCAGACCGCTCCGGCTTCTCCAGCTTCACCATCAGCCACTACAACTCCGCCGTCACCTACACCTCCGAAAACCTGCTCGAGAAGAACAGCGAGGTGGTCAGCCCCGACTTTGTCTCGCTCCTCCGCGGCTCCCACCCCGACGCCACAAAGCTCGGCGGCGCAGACCCCACCGCCTCGCCCGGCTCCACCATCCCCTTCATCCGCGGCATATTCAACACCAAGGTGCTCAAGACTCAGTCGCATCCCAAGAATGACCAGACCATCGTCGCCGCTCAGCAGTCGGTCAAGCCCATGCGCGCCCCCTCCACACGCAGACCCAACCGCGCCGCCACCGTGAAGCGCAGCACCACCGTCAAGAAGGGCAACAACAACAACAACGACGACGACGACTCGGACGACGACGCCGACTCGTCGGGCGTCAAGAAGAACGCCGTGCGCTGCGTCGCCGGCGAGTTCCGCGGCGCGCTCGACCTGCTCCTCGAGACGCTCGACGACACAAAGTCGTGGTTCACGCTCTGCCTGCGTCCCAACGACAACCAGCTGCCCAACCAGTTCGAGGCCCGCACCGTCAAGCACCAGATCAACACGCTCGGCCTCTCGGAGATGGCGCGCAAGCTCCTCAACGAGTACAGCGTCAGCATGACCTACGACGAGTTCTGCCAGCGCTACGCCGCCATCCCCTCGCTCGACGCCATCAACATGGCTGGCGCCGTCTCGGGCGAAGCGAAGCAGAAGTTCTCGGCCGCACGCGAGATCATGCAGTGGTCCGAGCACGACGTCGCCTCGGGCCGCGTCAAGGTCTTCCTCTCCCACAACGCCTTCCGCGAGCTCGAGGACGAGCTGCGTGCCGCCGACCCCGAGGAGATCAAGAACAACGAGCGACGCGCACAGCTCGATGTCGAAGCAGCCGCTCGCGGCGAGTCCGACCCCTTCTCCCCTATGGCCGTCCACGCAGACGAGGTGACGCGCAGCCAAAGCAACGACTTTGTCGGCGCCTACGGCGATCCGTTCAAGGAGCGTTCCTCCGTCGTCCTCCCGCTCGTCGGCGGAGCAGGCGCTGCCGACGCCGACGACGCACTCGAAGAGGTCAAGAGCTCCTACTCGGGCGTCTCGGGCACCCTCCCCAGGCGCAGCTACGGCGGCGGCCTCAGCGGCGCCGCTTCCAACATCGGCTCCGAGGCCTACGCGCCCTCGCGCAACATGTTTGCCGACATGGGCAAGAACGGCCTCAACGAGAAGGCCGGTACGGCGGCCTTTACCGAGGAGCCGCTCGGCGAGGTCGCCGAGGAGGTCGGTGTCACCGCCGCGCGTCGCAAGTGGGTCGCCTTCACCTGGGCCGTCACCTTCTGGATCCCCTCGTTCGTGCTCAAGCGCTTCCACTCGCTCAAGAGGCCCGACATCCGCATGGCATGGCGCGAGAAGCTCGCCATCAACCTCATGATCTGGTTCATCTGCGCCTGCGCCGTCTTTGTCATTGTCGTGCTCGGCAACCTCATCTGCCCCAAGCAGCACGTCTACAGCCCCAACGAGTTCGCCACGCACAAGGGCGACTCCTCCTTCACCTCGATCCGCGGCGAGGTGTTTGACCTGAGCAGCCTCGTCACCAGCCACAAGAGCGTCGTGCCCGTCGTCCCCACCAATTCCATCCTCGCCTATGCCGGAGAGGACGCCACCCCCATCTTCCCCGTCCAGGTCAACGCGCTGTGCAACGGCGTCGACGGTAACGTGAGCCCCTGGGTGCAGCTCTCCAACGAGAACTCCACCGACAAGAACGCCCAGTACCACGACTTCCGCTCCTACCACATCGACGACCCGCGTCCCGACTGGTACTACGAGACCATGTGGCTGCTGCGCTCCAACTACCGCGTCGGCTTCATGGGTTACACCTCGGACGGCATCCGCGACATGCTCTCCGAGGGCAGGTCGCTCGCCATCTACCGCGGCGACATCTACGACGTGTCCGACTACGTCAAGCAGGGCAACCAGGGCGTGCTGCGCGCTCCCGATGGATTCCAGGCTCCCGTCAACACCAACCGCAAGTTCATGAGCGATGCCGTGATCAGCCTCATCGCACAGAACCCGGGCAAGGACATCACCAAGCAGCTCGACAGCCTGCCGCTCGACCGCGACGTGCTCGACCGCCAGCGCGTGTGTCTGCGCAACCTCTACTTCATCGGCAAGGTCGACCATCGCAACTCGCCGCAGTGCCGCTTCTCCCAGTACATCCTGCTCGCGCTCTCGCTCTTCATGGTGGCCATCCTCGGATTCAAGTTCCTCGCGGCGCTCCAGTTCGGCCGCGCGCGCAAGCCCGAGGACCACGACAAGTTTGTCATCTGCCAGGTGCCCTGCTACACCGAGGGCGAGGAGTCGATGCGCAAGACGATCAACTCGCTCGCGGCGCTCAAGTACGACGACAAGCGCAAGCTGCTCTTCATCATCTGCGACGGCATGATCGTCGGTTCGGGCAACGACCGGCCCACGCCGCGAATCGTGCTCGACATCCTCGGCGCCGACCCGAACCTGGAGCCGGAGGCGCTGAGCTTCCTCTCGCTCGGCGAAGGCAGCAAGCAGCACAACATGGCCAAGGTGTACAGCGGTCTCTACGAGCACCACGGCCACGTGGTGCCGTACATCGTGGTGGTCAAGTGCGGCAAGCCCACGGAGCGCTCGCGACCGGGCAACCGCGGCAAGCGCGACTCGCAGCTCGTGCTCATGCGCTTCCTCAACAAGGTGCACTTTGGCCTGCCCATGAACCCGATGGAGCTCGAGATCTACCACCAGATCAAGAACGTCATTGGCGTCAACCCGAGCTTCTACGAGTACATCCTCCAGGTGGATGCGGACACCGAGGTGGAGGCGCTGTCGCTCAACCGGTTCATCTCGGCGTTCATCCGCGACAAGAAGGTGATCGGACTGTGCGGCGAGACGGCGCTGTCGAACGCCAAAGCGAGCATCATTACGATGCTGCAGGTGTACGAGTACTACATCTCGCACTACCTCGCCAAGGCGTTTGAGAGTCTGTTTGGATCGGTGACGTGTCTGCCCGGTTGTTTCTCCATGTTCCGCATCCGCACGCCGGACACGCACCGGCCGCTGTTCATTGCGTCGGCGATCGTGGAGGAGTATGCCGAGAACCGCGTGGACACTTTGCACACCAAGAACCTGCTGCACTTGGGCGAGGATCGATACCTGACCACGCTGGTGCTCAAGCACTTTGGCAAGTACAAGACCATCTTTGTGCGCGACTGCAAGGCGTGGACGGTGGCGCCGGACGACTGGAAGGTGCTGCTGTCGCAGCGTCGACGCTGGATCAACTCGACGGTGCATAACCTGGTGGAGCTCATCTTTACGCCCGGGCTGTGCGGGTTCTGCCTGTTTTCGATGCGCTTTGTGGTGTTTATCGACCTGCTCTCGACCATCATTGCGCCGGTGACGGTGGCGTACATTGTGTACCTGATCGTGCTCGTCGCCACGGCCAACGGCACGATTCCGCTCACGGCGATCATCATGCTGGCGGCGATCTACGGCTGCCAGGCGGTCATCTTCCTGCTGAACCGCAAGTTCGAGATGATCGGTTGGATGGTGGTGTACATCATTGGGATTCCGATCTGGTCGTTGTTCCTGCCGCTGTATTCGTTCTGGCACATGGACGATTTCTCGTGGGGTAACACGAGGGTGGTGATGGGCGAAAAGGGACAGAAGGTGGTGGTGCACGAAGAGGGCACGTTTGATCCGAGCGAGATTCCGCTGCAGACGTGGACGGACTACGAGAACGAGCTGTGGGAGCGCAACTCGGCGCGCTCGATCGGGTCGATTATCGAGGCGGCACGCGCGGAGAACAAGTCGCTGGGCTCGCGTGCGGGGTCGCAGTACGCGCCGAGTTTGTACGGACAGCCTGTGCTGCCGAACAACGGTAGTTTTGGACACAGTCCCTCGCCTTCGTTTGGGGGTACGCCTTCGCAGTTTGGTGCGTATCCCGCTGCGGGTTCGCAGGTAGGCTACTTTCCGCAGGCGGATGCTCGGCAGTCGACCTACAGTCTTGGTGGATACGGTGGGCAGACCATGTCGATGTACGGTATGCCTGCTGCTGGATCCGTCTACGGGATGCCTGGGGGTAGTGGATTCATGCCGTATGCGGGGGGCAGCATGTACGGTCTGCCGCAGCAACAGACACAGTCGGTCTATGGCGGTTCGCAACTCGGCTTTGGCGGGTTTGCGGAGCAGCCTGTTCAGCCGGCACAGGCAAGCATGTCAGGTAGCCCAGAGGCGGGATTGCCCGCAGAGGCCCAGATGAAGATGGACATTCGAAGCCTGATTGCCGAGTCGGACCTCACCACGGTGACCAAGAAACAGCTGCGCCAAAAGCTCGAGGCCAAGTACGGCGTGCCGCTCGACGCCAAGAAGGCCTTCGTCAATGGCGAGATTGAAAAGGTGCTCGCCGAGTCGTAGAGCACAAGCTTGTCTTACCGGTGCAAGAAGATTTTTCAATGGACTTTTAGTTTTCGATGTGCGATCACGGATGTGCAGTGTGCGATGTGTGTGGGGGAGGGGGAGGATGGAATGGCACCTCACTACGACGACCAAGAAGCAGGCTCGAGACCAAGTCCGGCATCCCGGTCGATGCCGAGAGAAAGTGCACGTCAAGTCGTAGCCGTACGCGCACCGTGGTGGTTTGTATGGATTCTCAACCGACATTTGCGTGTTTTTCGATGTGTGGTGTGTGAGCGATGTGCGATGTGCGATGTGCGATGTGCGATGTGTGTGGCAGGGGGTGAAAGATGGGATCAAGATGCGATGACCGTAACAAACAAAGCAGCGCGCCACGCCTCGAGGAAGGCCCAAAAAAGCCTTTTGTCAACGGCGAGAATTGAAGAAGCTGTGCACAGTGGTCGCTTGTATCGATTGCCCAGTGGACATTTAGTTTCGATGTGCGGTGTGCAATCTGCGTGGCAGGGAGAGGATGGGATGGCACCTCACCACAGCGACCAAGGGAGCAGGCTCGAGGCCAAGTACGGCGAAGCAGAGGATGCCGTTTTGTCAGTGGCGAGATTGACAAGGTGTTTGGCGGGTCGTATACAGGCGAAGCTCGCCGCTCACTTTCTCTATACCGGCTGCTGGGGGTTCTGTGCTTTCCCCTAGTGTGGGTCTGCGGGGGGAGTATCGAGGTGCACCCTGCACCTTTTCTCGCTGCGCATGCACAGAGCGGTGCCGGATGGTCGCCCCACCTCTCCTCTGGCCCTGCTCTAGACGCCTGGGCGGTTCGAGACGGCAGAAAAGGGAAACCCCTGGTTCAATCGACATTGGTTTGCTTTCAATCTGTTCATCTGTTGTGTATGTGGTGGGATGCGTGTGAGTGAGCCAGCCCGTCAGTGTAGCAACCACTGCTTCGGATCGTGACACGGACAGACTGAAAAAGAGAGATGGAGTGGGTATGAAAAGGCTCGCTGTCTACGATTGCCAAAGCGTTGCCGCCTTTGACAGCACAAACGGTAGCATTTGGCACCGTTTTCGACATCGACAAAAAAGTTGCTCGTCCCCAGTCGTTGTACAATTCGCCCTGGCCTGGTGGTTCCGTATGGAGGTTGGTGCGTTTCTGACGTCTGTTGGACAACGACAAGCGGGCAACAGCAAGCAGACACGCGTGCACGAAGGTGGGCTTGCGGCAAGCCGATCCAAGACGCATCTGGGTTCGCCTCCCCAAAGCGCCTAGACAGACTGCTGGCGTTGGACCGCTTTTGCACCTCCGCCGTCGGCACCGTCGATCCAAGAACGGTAAATTGCCGTGCATCGCAGCATCGCAGCTGTCGGCCGGTCGCAACTTTGGCGGAGGATTGCAGAGCTGGCGTCGCCATACGGCGGTCTTTTGGCGTTGGAATCGATTTGGCTCGGGAAGCAGTGTGCACGCTTGCTTTGGCTCGCCGTGCACTCGTCTTACGTTGAAATTTAGTCTGGCCATCATCGTCGCTGGATTTGCTTCCACACTGTCTGCGTCGACTTGCGCGGTTGCGATGTCTCAACCACTCGATCTGGCTCATCCTGGCTCTCGCTGTCTGCGCTCTTGCGTCGGCTCGTCTTGCGTGCGCACGTCTTGTCGTCGATGGCTTTGAACGGCTCGCTCTCGATGGATACGATCTCACTGCTTTTGGTCTCTTGGTCTAGCGCGGTTCTGAGTCTGCTCTTGCTCCCCGCCGCGCTATGCTGTCCTGACTGGGTGAAGTGTCCCTGCTGGCCTGGCTTGGACTCGGATGCTGTCGCTGGTCTTGGTCGTGCAGTCTTGCCGCCCGCGGCCACCGTCACACAAACAATTTTTATGCTGACCAGTCTTGCCGTTGCCGTCCTTTGCACTGGCTATCTTGTGGGTGCCATGTGGCATGCTCTTGCTGTCCTTGTCATGGCTCGGGCTGGCGTTGCTCACTTGCGCCGGCTGCTTTTCCTCATCTCGTTGCGCAGGCTGTTGTGACTTGGTCTCATTGTCTTGGTCTCGTCTTGCACTTACCTTCCTTTCGTGCTCACGCGCATTACTGTTGCTCTGTAGCACTCAAGCAGTCTCACGGCGTGCCTGCCACCGAGCCCCTGCATGCCTTGTTCTTGCGGCCTTAAGCGCGTCTGGCTGGCTGCATTTTCCCGCTCTCCTTGCTCGGGCTCTTGCCGTCGTTGCGCTCGCCATGGTTGCGCAGGCTATGGTTGTTCGCTGGCCTTCTTGGCTCTCACTGCATTCGCGCTGGGCGGTGTTGTCCTCGCTCGTCTTGCGGTCGTCTTGCTCTCGCTCGATTCGGTCTTCCACTAGTCTTGCGCTGGCTTTCTTGTTGCTGTTCTTGCTCTGGCTCGCGCTCCCAACGGCCACATGCCATCGAGCCCCTGGACGGTTCTTGCTCCCTGGGCGTCTTCATGCTCTTGACCGTCTTTGCGCTGGCTGGAGTTGCTTAGGCTGTCGTTGCTCACGCTGGCCTTGCCGTATCAGCCTAAACGTCAGTGGTCTCGTCGTCTTGCGCTTGCTATGTCTTTGACCTTACGGCTTTGCTGTCGCACTCGGGCGGTCCGGGCTCGAGCTGTCTTGCTGCTCTCGTCATGCTCTTGCCATCTTGCAATGTCTGAACCACTCTCGCTGGGTCTCGCTGGGTCTCGCTGGGTCTCGCTGGGTCTCGCTGGGTCTCGCTGGGTCTCGCTGGGTCTCGCTGGGTCTCGCTGGTTCTTGCTGTCTGGGCTCTTGCGTTGGAGTGGTCCTGCTGTTGACGCCTTTGGATGCCTCGTTGTCGACGCACTGGGCCTCACTGTCTTGTTGCACGTCTGGGCGCTCGCGCTCCCGGCGCTTTGCTGCCTTATTCTGGCCCTCGCAGCCTATGGTTGATGTGCACGTCTTGTTGCCGTAAACCATTCTTGCAGGAATACGTCTCGCTGGCCAAGCAGGCTGTCTCGTCCTTGCTATCTTTGCTCTTGCTCGTCTTGCTGTCGCGCAGCCTGTAGGCGAGCTGACTTGCCTTGCGCAGACTGCGGTTGCTCTCTGGCCCTCACTGTCTCAAACCGACTGCCTGTCGCTGCGCATTTTTTTTTTGTTTGCATTCGCGCCGGCCGTCATTGTGCTGATTGTCTGGACTCGCAATTGGCTTTGCTATTGCTCTGGAGGGCTCAAGCAGTCTTAGAGCGTGCGTTGCATCGAACCCTGGACGTATGTTTGTCGATCTCCTTGCGCTTCCGCTCTTCTTACTGTCGGCTGCCATGCTGTGGGTCGTCCTGCTCTTACCCGTCTTCGCACTGGCTCTCGTCGCACAGCCTATCTTTGCGCTGCTTTCTGACTCTTTCCCCGATCGAAGCCGCGCAGTGCTTTCTCTTGCTCTCTCCAGCAGGCGCGCTGTTTCGAACTGTCCTTGCTCCGCCGCTTGACCTTGCTTGACAGACGAAACGAGCACGATGTGGCAGACACACTATACCTATTGGCTGCAGGAGGTTTCTTTATGCCATGGCCTAAGGAGGGTCAAGCAGTGTACCATGCCAACGCGGCAGTCTGCTCCGGGACGGACCGGAACAGATGCGTGCTTTGTTGATGTGCATGGTCGAAGGTCTAACCACTTCCAACACTTTCATCAGCGCGTCCTCCTCGCTACAGCGTACGCCGCGTCTCGGTACGATACGAACTTCGAGACAGCGAGCGAGCTCTTGTGGCCTAGCGTTCGTATTGTCCTGCACACGGGATGACGAGGCTTCTTTGCCGCTCTCACACTGTCGTTGATTCGGCAAGCAAGACGCGCAATTTCATACTCTCTTTGCAGTGCATTGGTGTCTACATACGACGCATAGGCGACTCTGTGTGCTGGGGAGGAGCGCTTGTCCTTGCGAGCGAGGCGCGGTTCTGTCTCGGCACCATCGTGGGCGGCTTGAGCGAAGCAATCACGACAGGCAGCGCACGTTTGTGACCGGGAGTCGACGAGAAATCCAGCTGCGCACGCGGACCTCCCACACTCATCGACCTGACATGAGCCTGCGGTCTCGCCGGCGATACCGCAGGCTGGTGTGTGGAAAGCCGGCTCAGACTCGCCCTGGTCTGGCGTGGCACAATAGCGGGGGGCGCAGTGGAGGCGACCGACGTGGAGAGCGATGCGCGTTTGTGTCCCGGTGTGCGCGAAAAGTCGACTTCGCTCCTCACCCTTTCTCCGGCTGTAGATGGTCTAGCCTGGCCGGGTTGGTTTTGGCGAGCGAGGGCGGCCTTGTTGAGACGCGGGGCGATGGTGGGTGTGCGCAGGGACGAGGGGGTGGGGACGGTGCGTTTGGGCATGCCCGACGCGGGAGCGGGGGTCTTGGTGGGACTCGGCGTGCGGGTGGGTAGGGGTATTCCCATGCGCAGTGCAGCTGCACGGCTCAAGCGCGGCTCGATCGTGGGCTTGCTCGATACGCTCGATGGAACGGCACGCGCCTTGAAGCCGGGCTGCGATGCTCGACTCACCGAGGTTGCGCGTGTAGATGCAGAGCTGGACGTGCCTGCCTCACTACTTCCCGAGCCGATCGCAGGGAAGAGTAGGGCACGTTGCATCTGCGCTACATCTCGTGTGGGCGAAGCGTAGATTGGTCCGAACTTCTTCAGACTCGAGGCGTACTGGGTGAGAAAGACCTTGCAGGCGTCGTCGTTGGACGTGAGCGCGAGAACGAGCACGGTGAACGGAGCAGCGGTGAATCCGGGTGCCCATCGGACGAGCGCGGCTGCTTCACCGAGCGTGGCAATCTCGTGTGCGAGCAGCGCGCGCAGCATGGCATCGTCATCCGGCAGCGTAATGCGCAGCATGGTGTGCTCCACCAGCGAAAAGGCACCCACGAGTGCGTCGAGCACCGCCGAGGTGGATGCAGCTGCGTCTTCGAGCAACGCCACTGTGACGATGTTTTGCGCCATGGCGTACAGAGATGGTGGGTTCGAGACAACCTCGCCCAGCCTGCCAGATCTCAGCTTCAAACCCGCCTCAGCGAGCAGCGATGAGAGAGTGACAACACGAGGGGCGCTGCTTGACTCGAGCGCTGGCAGCTGGACCCTGGTGTGCAGGGTCCAAATGCACAACAACACGCGCCAAAACACACGAGACCAGGGCACTTGGCCACAGTCAAATCTGGCGACGCGTCGAAAAAAAGGGCGAGACGCATGCACGATGCACCTCGGCGTGCAGCGGTGCGCTTTCTCCACACGAAGCGGAGACCGCCGGCGAGCCCGAGCAACAACCCAACCACGCTACCGGCCGAACAAAGGGGCTCGCTCTCCAGATCAAAGGGGCTTGCTTGACGCTAGCTGCTCTACGCTTGCCTTTGTACGGAATTGAGACGACAGCGAGGTTGGCCTGGAAAACAGCCTTGCCTACGGTATTACGGTACAGATCTGTAGTCAAGTCGACGTTGCGCCCATAGACTAGTGTCAAGTTCGGACGATCGCGGTCTCCAGCGTCGTGTGTGCGTTGCGTGCCCGTGTCGCGTCAGCTAACTTACTCTGCGCTCAGTTGCAGCGACGAGCATCCGCCACACGCTTGGGTGAACGATGAGGATGCAAGCCTGCGCGGCAAGAAAAAGTGTCGGATACGAAAAGCAAGTGGGGTGGGCTTCAGCTTCAAACTCGTTGTTCGGCAGGTGGCCCACCAAGAGGCAAAGCATGCGTTGACGCCCACATGTTCACACGAAGCAAGATCAACAAGCGATTCATTTCAGCCGCTGTGGTTGGGCAGTGACGCGCGATCGTCACGCGTAGCTTTGAATCCACGCACTCTGGCACTAAGAGGCGTTCAGAGCGGCAGATCAACACTCACGCCGATGGATCGCTCTTGGCAAGTAGCAAACTGGACTTCATTGTTCGAACAGTTGAGCAGGACAGTGCAGCGCATTGCGGACGAAATGAAGCCTGTACCTGCAAAGCTGTGACTGCACAGTGGGGCCATGATTGGGTGTGCATGAGAATGTGGTGGGTTTTTTGCCGACCAGGGAGCTGGTCATCCCGAGCTCGACTGACACCTCCCACTTCGGTGTGTGCATACATCCTTACCACTTCCATCCTCTCTCCTCTCTCTCCGACTCCCCTTTTCCCTCCTCGCTTCGTTTCCAAGCTTTCTTTTTTCTTTGCGGTTGGCACTGTTCGAGTGAAGTGTCAAGATGCTGTTGCTCGTGTTGGTGGTTGTGTCGCTGTTGGGGGTATCGGCTTTGCCCGTCGACACGCTGCAGCCGCAGGTCTACTCGCCCGTGCAGCTGTCGCAGTACTGCAATGCGGCGGATAACTACTGCTTCTACGTCGACCAGATCCATCCCGGCACCGTCCGTGCCTCGCCCTATACCGCCACAGACGAACGTAAGTAGCCCAACCCCCAACCCTTCCCTGCCGAGGCTGAGATGATTGACGAGTACTTTGTTGGGTTGTAGAGGGGCAGTTCTTGCTTCGACGCGATGCATACATGCAACGTCCCTACCGAGTCTGCTTTGGCGGATGCTGCATCCTGTTCGACTTTACCACGCAGCCGGGGTGCGTGCATATGCGATATGTCGCGCGCAAGCATGCCGAGCCTGGTCATTTGTTGGCGAGATTCGCAAATGAGCCGCAACAAGTGCTCGGTCCAAGAAGCTTTATGCAAAAGCACCTTGTTGCTTGTCCTCAAGATGGAATGCCCGTGCCATACGCTATTATTGCGGCTAGAGGCGGGAATGCGACCATCCCGCACGAAGACGAACGCAAGCTTCAAATCGATCCAGTCCAGGAGGGCAAGCAGAACACCAAGCCCGATTATTTCGACGACGTGACGGTTCAGCTTATCAACACCTGATTCCTTCCCCCCACCGCTCCTCTCACCTCTGCAATTTTCATGCCTTTACCCTCCTCCCCCACACACTCGCACACAAACACTACGAGCGATCAGGACTGTGCTTTCATGCAGAAGAAATGAGGCAATGTTGAGCAACGACTATCGCACAGGGCGCCACTTGGTGTCGCGGCGCGTGGCGAGAAACACGTCGGCGGCCTCGTCGGGCTTGCGCCATGCTGTTTTGGACGTCGGCACCAGATTCGTCACCCAGAAGCGGCGACCTTCCTGCAGCTCGTCGCCGAGCTGCGCCGCGTCCCATACCGTGAGCTGGACGGTGCGTGCGTGCGCGTTGCGTTTCTTCGCTGCCGCACCCGCATTCGTGGCGGGCGGCGCGGGTAGCTCTGGCAGCCTGGCATCGCGGAAGCGCACCACGCGGAAGCCGCGCACCTTGCGCGGCGGACACAGCCGGTCCAGGTGTGCGTCCAGGCGTGCCGCACCGGCGTCTTCGGCCACCAGCGCTGCCTTGGCCATACTGTGCAGCCACGGCACCGTGCCCGCGTGCCCAGACTGGACGACGAGCTCCTTGACCGCCTGGGCCGGGTTCGCGCGCGACTGGAGCTGGTCGAACAGCGTGGCTGCCGTCGCCTCCAATCGACCCGACGGATCCTCTGGCAGCGTGGGAAGGAAGGCGTCGCTCGCAAGATCTCCGATCGCCTCGACGAGATCGTACAACCGCCGTTGCTCCGACTCGAGCTGGAGCTCAAGCCGTGCCATGGCATCTTCGCGCCTCTGCTTCCACGCCTCGAGCTGCTCGGCCTCCTCCTGCTCTCCGCGCGGCGCAGTTGACCGATCCGTCGTCCGCTCTGCATCCACGTACGCAAGCGGAAATACCTTGGTGATGACGACATCCATCAGAGACACCACACCGCCTTCCGGAGTCAAGCTGCGAAGGCCCGCAAAGAATGGCTGCGGCGCAAATCCGAGCCGCGCATCCCAGCTCGCCAGCGAAGTAGCATTGCCGCTGAGCACGAGCGTCGACAAGTGGTAAGCGGCCAGTACCTCGTTGCCCTCTCCCTGCGCATCCAGCGTTGCGCCCATCACGGCGAGCTTGTGCCCCACGCGCAGCCGGCCGCGCTGGCATGCTTGTGCCAGCACACTGTCCACCTGCGCCTGGATGCGGTACCAGCCATCGGAAAGCTCAAGGATGGTCTCCTTGCGCACCACCACCTGTCCCGACCGGTCCTGCACCTCGGTCTCTTCTTCGAGGATCTTGGCTACGAGCAGCACCATCGGACGCGATGGCGACGAGTCGTGCTCCTGGATCCGCTTGAGACACGATCGCTGCGCACGATGCACCTCGCGCTCGTACCGGTACAGCAGCTGGCAGATAAGCTCGTGCCAGCTCCATCGCTCGTGTGCGCAGCTGGGGTCCAGTCGCACCATGGCAGCAAGCTTCCACAGAATCAGCGTCCAATGATTCTGCACCCACGGCAGCTTCGCACCGGTACAGCCTCGAGCAACGAGCTCGTCAAGAGCGTCCTGCTGCTGGAGTAATGATCCATCAGGACCCTCGAAAGCGTACTGCGCTGCGCGCGACGCGTCGTTCAAGATGACGATGATCTCGTCCGGAACGCCTCTGGCGATCAGCTGCATGGACGAGAATTGCTCCGGCCGCCCGACGTCGGCCAGACGCAGTCGAGGCACACCGGACTGCAATCGAAAGACAGACACTGCGTCCGAATGGACAGGACTGACAGGCCGTGTGCTGCGCGTCGCGGGATACTGGCGAGCGGACGTAAAGGTGGACGTCGAGGCGCCGACCTTGCCGTAGTCCAGCTTTCTGACCGGCGAAGATGCATCTGCGAGCTCTTCGGCTTTTGGCCGTTTGCCGGCCTTGAAAGGCGTCACGAACTTGGGAACGGGCCTCTTGCGGCTCGAGCTAGCGCTCATGCCGACGCGAGGAAGCACGCCGAGCGAAACCTTTTTGGTCGGCTGTGGCGTTGTGAAGCGCGCGAGCGAGGACGAGCCCGGCATATGCATGGGAGTGCCTGGAGCCTGACTGCCGACAAGGCTCGCACTTCTGAATTGCTGCGGCGTGGCAATCGCCGGGCGTTCGATCTGACGGCTCGACGTCATGGCCGCTGTCCCGGTGGTCTGCGATGGACCTGGTGCGCTTTTGAGCGTTGATGGGATTCCTAGACTCTCGACTGCGGGCACATTTTGCCTGGATGGAACCTCCTGCATCGGCGTCCTCGCAGCAAGTTGAGCTGCCCTCGCTGGCGGCGCCCGCGACGAAGACTGTTGCGACTGCGACGGTTGCGACAGCGCCTGTGATGTTCTCGGCGGCGGAAGCAGGTCCTGACTCTCCTCGAGATCGTGAAGAAGCTTACGCGCGACTTCGAGAGCCTTTTCGCTCAGCTCGACCTTTTTGCCGTGGCCCGTCTTGAAGCCGGCAAACGATGCTTCGAAGCACGACGTCGTCTGCCCGGCTTCAGCTTCCGATGGCTCGGGGAAGAACGGGTCGTCCTCGAGAGCACCGTGAATTCGCCCGGCTGCAGTCTGGGATGCTTTGCTCTGAGAAGGACGAGTTGGCGAGGGAGGAGCGTGCATGCTTCTGATCTGGCTGGGCTCGCCAACTTGTGGGAGGCTGACATGTCTCCGCACGGGCGGGCTGAGTTCGATATCGCCAAAAACGTCTGCTTCGATCCCATCGAAAAGGCTGTCGTGATCCAAGAGAATGTCGGTGGAAATGGCCATGGTTGTGGCGGCAATCTCCATCACTGCATCGTGATTCGGTGGCAGCGAGGCACCTTCAGACTGTTCCGCTGTACTGTCGGTAGCCTGGGCCAGGGCTACAATGTCTGTCTTCCGATCCTGCTCCACTTCCGCACTTTGCAGTTCTGGTGCGGCAGTGTTGACCTCGACAGCGGTCTCGGCCGGCGCAACGTCTGAATGCAGAACTGCGTCAGACGCAGCTGTCCCTACACCATTGCTCTGCTGCGAGCAAGCTTGTGCGGTCTCGACGCCGATTCCGGCCTGCTGCAAAGGCAGTATGCCATTCTGAGAGGCAGCGGCGCAGCTTATCGGCTCCAGAATCTCCGCGGGCGCAGCAGGCTGGTGCTCGGCCAAAGTCTGTGAAGCTGGGGCGTCCGACTGCTCGGGGACAGATGCGTCGTCTGCGTTCGAGTCGCGGTGGTTGTGATCCAGGATACCTTCCTCGCTGATGGTGTGAAGCTCCTCTAGCAAGGATTGCTGGGTGGCGGCCATCTCGTCTTCCAAGGTGGGAGCGATCTGGGCTGTCGCTAGACCGTTGAGCAAAGACATGTTGCCGTATCCAACGCGACCACCCTTTCGTCACGGATGGAAGATCGGATTCCTGGACCGTGAGGTTGTAGTCGGCAGGCAGGAGCAAGGATCAAGAGCGCTGAAGCTTGCCCTGTCCAGACTGGCTCGGCATTTTGTTGGGTGTTGGGGGTGGGTGCGTTTGCGCTTGTCGATGGCGGCGAGCCTGCAGAGCTGACGTGTTGAGCTTCAGTGCATCGGAAGGGCCGAAGATGAAGATGGCAAGGAAGAGTAGCGCCCTTGGATGTGTCATTTGGCTCTTCACGCAGCTGCGGAGCGACCCGAAGAAGAGCGGGCGGGTCCAACACTTTTTGGCTGCGGTGCGGCGCGCCCGACTCGCCTCGCGACACGTCTGCGTCGGAAAGCCTCCACACGGCAGCGGCACCCTACGTCGCGCGCGGGCTCGCTCTGCCAAGAGTCCAACACGAATCGCGCGATCGGGAAGGATGGTGACCCCGATCTGCTGCCGATGATCTCAACGACTGCATACGTCTGCTGGATGGAGCACTGACTGAAGAGTGTTCTGGCCGACTCTGCTGCGACACGGCTTGCTCGCCACCTGCGCTGTTGAATGGCATCGAGAAGGTGCACTTGGTGATGAGTGGACGGCCGGCGGTTGCTCGCATGCATTTGGAAAGGCCACGGATATTTTTCGCCTGAAGTTGTTTAAAATTCAAGGTCAGCTGGTGCTGTGGTAGCAGGCGAACATCTGGCGGCCTGGCATGAGGCGAATCGGCGAGCAGACCATTGTCATTCATTCGACGCTGAGGAGGGTCGCCAAGCCGTGCTTGATACAGGACGCCAGCTGCATCGAGTGGGGCGGCCAAGCACGCTTGCGTTTCTGTAGAAGAAGGGGATTCGGGCAAGTGGCTTCTCCGCTCGGATCTTGCGAATTCTCAGCCGGAGATTCGGAGACGTAGACATCTCATAATATCCTGCAGTAGAATACGGTACTGCCTCAGCCTTGGCGAGTCGTTGCAAGCCGCTCAGCCATTCTACAGTACAGCATGGAGGGCGCGGGAAGCAACTACGAGAAGCGGCACTGCCGAGTCGGAAAAGGGCCGGCTAGGGTACATACACGGGAAGGGGCGTGTGCACAGCCCGGGAGTCGGAGTCCCTAGGCCCATAAAAGCTTGAAGAGCGTCTCTGCGCCCTTGCGCTCTGAAAGCCAGAGCTTGGATGAAGCGAACCGAAAAAGCAACGAACGGCCTGACTTGGCTGGCCTAGGCGGAGGTAAGCCGGCGCCGCCGAAGCTGCGCAGGTGCCATATCGATCCATGCGGTAATTGCACAGCGGAGGAAAGCAGCAGCGCTACGCCGCATGTGCACATTCACCGGCGAAAAAAAAGGTCGAGAGAAAGTGTTGATCTTTCGAATCGCCAAGAGAGAGAGGGAGAGGAGACCTGAGGAAGAGCGGGATGATCTGCGTGGCAGCCTGGCAGAACGCGCGGGCGACTCGGCGAGGCAGTTGGCCAGTGCGATTTGGGAGGCGGTTTGACTGGAATCCAACACCGGATCGGCAGGCGAGGGGCGAGCGTGTGTGCGTGTGCGTGCGCGTTGTGTTGTTCTCGATGGCCAGGCACGTCGCCCCTGTTTGAATTCGGAGTCTTTTTTGGCGGCGGCTGCTGCTGCTGCTGCTGCTGCTGCTGTCAACGCAGATCGCGGTGGGGTGCGGTGGAAATTTTGGAATTTTGCGAGGGAAGATGTGATCTGTTGCGTGGGTTCGGTCGGTCGGTGCTTGGATCTTGGATGCACGAATGCACGATTTCGCTCTGCCCTTTCGACTCGGGCCGCGGCGCAGCCAATCCGCCGCCCATGCTTGGCTCGAGCCCCTTTTTTTCCCCTCCCTGTCGCCAACACACACACCAGCTAAGCGTTGGTGCTCCGTGCAGCCGCCAGCAGCCAGCAGAGCGAGCACAGCCAGCCAGCCAGCCGCGAAATGCGAAAGCACAGCTGTCAGTCTGAAAATCCCACTCAACGCACGTCCGGCGCACCTCGCCCATCGCCTCAGCCTCAGCCTGGCCTGAGCCTGGCCCTGGCCGTTGGCGCGTCAGACCGGCTGTTGTTGCGCTTGGCCTTGCTGCGTCGCCCCTTTAAACTCCCCGTATCGCTACGTCGACATTCCACCGCCGTCTCCGCTCGCTTCGTCCCCTCCCTCACACCATCGTCACACACACACACACACACACACTCTCTCTCTCTCTCTCTCTCTCTCTCTTTCCTAGCGTCGACCATCGTCTGCCGTCCTGCTGCTTAGCATTGCCTAGAGACGCAGAAAAGTCGAGAGCTTGCCCTCGGTCTCGTTTTCGTTCACTCCTTTCAACCCTTCGGTGCTGCGCATCGGAACTCTTCCCATACACTCGTCGCAACAATGGTAAGCATAATGTCCGCGTGTTCGTTCGTTAGCTTGTCAGGCAGCTGTACTGACAATCCCTCTCCGCCTTCTGCTCCTCAAAGTGCGGCATTTTCGCCTATATCAACCACTTGGTGGAGAAAGACCGCAAGCAGGTCATCGACATCCTCGTCACCGGTCTCGCTCGTCTCGAGTACAGAGGCTACGACAGTGCCGGTATCGCTATTGACGGCGACACGGAGAAGGACACGCTCATCTTCAAGCAGGTCGGCAAGGTCGCCGCCCTCCGCAAGCACATCGATGAGTCGCACATCGACCTCCACAAGGTCTCCATCTCCCAGATGGGCATGGCCCACACCCGCTGGGCCACCCACGGTCAGCCAAGCCCCATCAACTGCCACCCGCACAGGTCCGATCCCACCAACGAATTCACCGTCGTCCACAACGGCATCATCACCAACTTCCGCGAGCTCCGCATGGTCCTCGAGAAGCGCGGCTTCAAGTTTGAGAGCGACACCGACACAGAGGCCGTAGCCATCCTCTGCAAGTACCTCTACGACTCGGCACAGGGCCGCAAGCCCGACTTTACCTCGCTCATCAAGTCCGTCCTCAAGGAACTCGAGGGCGCCTTCTCCTTTGTCTTCAAGTCCGTACACTTCCCCGGCGAGGTCGTCATCGCACGTCGCGGTTCGCCCCTCTTGATCGGTGTCAAGACCGAGAAGAAGCTCAAGGTCGACTTTGTCGACGTCGAGCTCGGCGGCGCCGTCGAGGAGAGCGGTTTCGGCGACGCCGGCCTCCTCGCCCCTCCCGGCGGCGACCCCTCGGGCCCCGGCTCCCTCTCGGTGCCCAACGCCAACAACAAGCTACTCCGCTCCCAGTCCCGCGCCTTCCTCTCCGAGGACGGCCTGCCCCAGCCCATCGAGTACTTTATCGCCTCGGACGCCTCGGCCGTCGTCGAGCACACCAAGCGCGTCCTCTACCTCGAGGACGACGACGTGGCCCACATCGCCGAGGGCGAGCTCCACATCCACCGCCTCCGCAGGAACGACGGCCTCAGCTCCATGCGCTCCATCGAGACGCTCGAGATGGAGCTGGCAGAGATCATGAAGGGCTCCTTCGACCACTTTATGCAGAAGGAGATCTACGAGCAGCCCGAGTCCGTCGTCAACACCATGCGTGGCCGCGTCGACTTTGACAAGCGCCAGGTCAAGCTCGGCGGACTCACCGCCTTCCTCAACACCATCCGCCGCTGCCGCAGAATCGTCATGACCGCCTGCGGCACCTCGTACCACTCGTGCCTCGCCACCCGGGCCATCTTTGAAGAGCTCACCGAAATCCCCGTCTCGGTCGAGCTCGCCTCGGACTTCCTCGACCGCAAGACGCCCATCTTCCGTGACGACGTCTGCGTCTTTGTCTCGCAGTCCGGCGAGACCGCCGACACCATCCTCGCGCTCCGATACTGCCTCGAGCGCGGCGCCCTCTGTCTCGGCGTCGTCAACACCGTCGGCTCCACCATGTCGCGCGAGACCCACTGCGGTATCCACATCAACGCCGGCCCCGAGATCGGCGTCGCCTCCACCAAGGCCTACACGTCGCAGTACATTGCTCTCATCATGATGGCCGTCCAGCTGTGCGAGGACAGGATCTCGATGACCGAGCGCAGGAACGCCATCATCGACGGCCTCCACGCCCTCCCCGCCCAGATCAAGAGCATCCTCGCACAGGACAAGGCGCTCCAGGCGCTCGCCCACAACACGCTCGCCAAGGAGCGCTCGCTGCTCATCATGGGCCGAGGCTACCAGCACGCCACCTGCCTCGAGGGTGCGCTCAAGATCAAGGAGGTCTGCTACATGCACTCGGAGGGCATCCTCGCCGGCGAGCTCAAGCACGGCCCGCTCGCGCTCATCGACGAGTCGATGCCCGTCATCCTCATTATGACCAAGGACTCGCTCTACCCCAAGGTGCAGACCGCCCTCATGCAGGTCACCGCTCGCAAGGGCCAGCCCATCATCATCTGCAACGACGACGACCAGGACATCAAGGAGGGCATGAAGACCATCCGCGTGCCCCGCACCGTCGACTGCCTCCAGGGTCTCTTGACCGTCGTGCCGCTCCAGCTGCTTTCCTACCACCTGGCCACGGCTGCCGGCGTCGACGTCGACTTCCCGCGCAACCTTGCCAAGTCTGTCACCGTCGAGTAAACCTTCCGCGCCCGCCGTCCGCCGCCCCCAGATCTCGAGTTTTCCAAGACACGCCCCTTTTGTAAATCATAGCTGCTGTTGCACCGCTCAATCCAAGCAGGCCCCCCAAATCTTTCCAAATCTTGCCAAATCTCCCGATCCGATGCATCTCTTCCCGATGCAAGTGGACGCTTTGTCTCTTGGTCACTCGATTCTGTTGGAGGGAAGACATGCATGCGATTGAAGTTGATTGATTCTAAGGAGATGCATTGTGAGCTTTCAGGGGCGATCAGGCCAAGAGGCCGAGCCAGAGGGAGGGGTTTTCGACGAGTTGTTTCCAGCGGTTGACGAGGCGCGCGAGGTCGGCACCCTCGACGACCCTATGGTCGCCAGTGAAGGAGACGGACATGATGAGGCGTCGGACGATCTTGTCGGGGTCGTTGCACTTGAGCGAAGGGATTTCGGATGCAAAGCGCGGGAGGATTCTGCTTCTTCCGAGGGCGCCGATGGCGAGTTGGCCCGTCGGAGGCAAGAGGGGATGTGTGTATGTTCCGCCGCCTACGGCTCCGACGTTGCTGAGAGTGATGGTGCCTGTCGGCTTCAAATCTGCGGGTGTCAGCCCCTTTGGTGAGGCGGCGACGTTCTGCAGACGCGTGATGAATCCCGAAAGATCGTAGATCGACTTGGTCTGGACGTCGGTGATGCAGGGCGTGAGCAGACCGACCTTGCTGGTGAGAGCGATCGAGACATCGTGGGATGACCGACGCACGAGTTTCTGGTCGGCATTGAGGATGCTTCGGAACATAGGATGGTCGTTGAGCGCCAGACTCATCGCCTTGACCAGCAGAGGAAGCAGCGTGAGCTTGGTGTAGGACGCTTCGCCGGCTTGGGTGTAGCGCTCGGGAATCGAGGCCGAAAGCATCTTGCGGACAGAGTCCAGCTCGGTCACGTCGATCTCGTCAGAGTAGGCAAAGTGCGGCGTGGAAAGCGTGGCGGTCATGGCCTTGAACATGGCCCTCTGCACGGGTGTCAGGTCGATCACCTCGGTCGTACCTTCCACCGGAGTCGAAGCGCTCGGGGTAGGACTGGAGGAAGAGGGGGTAGGTTGTGCGGGCTGGGAACCTCGTTGAACAAAGTTGAGCACGTCTTCTTTGGTGATCCTTCCATCACGACCCGTGCCCTGCACCTGGCTGAGGTCAACATTGTGTTCGCGAGACACCCTGCGCACCGCGGGCGTAGCGAGCACTTCTCTCGCGCCACCAGCTGGGCCTGCACCCGAGTGCTTGTGTTCGGCCGAAACAAAGCCCTCCATCTCAACGCCGCCAAACTCGGACTCTTTCGACACGCCCGTGATCTCCACCTGCCCCTTCTCCACCTCCTTCTCCGCCGACTCGCCGTCGGACTGCATCTCGATCTCGCACAGAGCATGACCGACCTTGGCCACATCGCCTTCCTTGTGCATGAGCCGCTTGATGGTCCCAGCGTATCGGGAGGTGATTTCGACCGAGGCTTTGTCCGACTGAACCTCGCAGATCGGGTCGAACTCCTGCACCACCGCGCCCGGCTGGACGAACCACTTGATGATCTCGCACTCGGTGATGCCCTCGCCCACATCGGCGAGCAGGTACGGCTTGACCTCCGTTGCGAGTCGTCGCGGTGTGGTGGCAAAGCTGCGCAGCGTCGTAGAGGTGCTCCCCACCACGATGGGCGTTGCGAGCGTCGAGGATTGCACGTAGGTGCGTGCAAGCAGCGGTGCCGATCGACCACCGCGAGCGGCGGCAGCCAGACGAAGCGTTCGACGCAGTGCAGTACGTGTAAGCATGATTGCGATGCTGTACCAGTCAAAAGCTTCGAAGGACGAGAGCTGGATGTGATGGAGGGAAGGTTTGGTGAGGATGGATGCGTTGATGCCAAGTGTGGGGTCCCCACCAAACCCTCCCCCCCCGCGAGCTGTTGGCGCCGGAACAGCAATTTTTGGTCGGTTTTGACGGACTGTCCGCGCACACACGCGTGACGCAGAACATGCCCGCGCACAAGGCCGAAAGGGCAAGTCGGCGATGACGCGCCCACCGCTTTCGGCCAAAAAAAAACCAGCTGCGCCCGAATCCTTCGGCTTTGCGCCCCCTGCACCCCGCACAACCTGGCGACTTTCCCGGCGAATTGCCGCGCGATTCCTTGTTAGCACTTCACAAATCGGCACACCTTGACTCCTGGTCGAAGCTCATACTGACACCGTGTCGCTGCGCGTGTGATTGAAAGTCCATTGCGTGCTGCCTACGATGCTGGCGTCTTTCGATGCTTGAAGAACGCAGCGGTCTGTTTGATGAGTCCGCCAAACCGGTCGGCGACGCTGACCTCTTTGCGGATCCACCCGGGCAGGCGCTGCTTGATCTCGGGCCGGGCGTAGCGCCGATCGAGCAGGATGAGCGCCGCATAGTCGTTCTGGTGGCGCACGGCGCGGCCGATCGACTGGTTGACAGCTTTCATGCACAGATTCGTGTACAGCTCGTGGCCCTGCATCCCCCCAGCAGCCAAAGGTAAGACGCGGTGTTAGCTTGCGGTTGTCTGTGTCAAGGGGGTGAGGTGGGCTACTTACGGGGTCGACGGTGTTGGTGGCGTGCGGATGCTGCTTGGCAAGCTCGCGCACGTACTTCATGCGTTCGGCCAGCTCGGGACTGTGCATGTTGGCGAAGGGCATGCCCACCATGACGACGGCACGCGCCAGGTCGTCGGAAAAGTTGATGCCCTCCGAGAGCTTGGCGCCGACGACGGCGAACATGATCGCGCCTCCGGCGCTGCCCGCGTCGCGAATCGCAGCCGTGTAGTCGTGCAGCACGCCGTCCACCTCCATGGTCGTCTTAGGTTCGGAAAAGATCTTCTTCTTGGCACCCAGGCGCTTGTGCAGCTCGCCCGAGCCGGCGTCCTTCCAGCGCGCCATGATGCGGTCGAGAAAGGCATAGCTCGGGACAAAGACCACCATCCCGGCGGGGACAACGTTGCACAGGTTGATGAGCGTGCGTCCCAGCTCGTCGATCAGCTCGGCGTTGTCGCGCGAGTCGAACTTGAACTCGAACGGCAAACCCTTGGGGCTGGAGCCCAGCACGCTCACCATGAGTTTGCTCGAAGGGATCACGTGGCCGCACGAGAACTCGACCAGCTTGTCGCGCGGTAGGAAGGGAAGGAGCTGCTGACGGAAGTCCGAGAGGGGCTCCATGGTGCCGCCGGCTAGAATCACGGATCGAGCCTCTTCTACGACCGACTTGAATGCATGCGACGGATTGAGCAGCTGGTACTTGGCGCGCACGTACGGCTCGCCGGCGTCGTCCACGCGCGAAAGAACCACGCGGCCATCCTCGGATCGGTGCGCGAGCGAGAGGATAAACGACTCGATCGCATGCATGCTCGAGATGGCACTTTGACTCGAAGGCTCCTTGTCGACCTGGCTGGGTTTCGGCGTTTTTTGCGGAGGTCGACGAGCGCTTCCAGCAGCATTGGCGACGGACTCGGTTGCCGCACGGTTGGCATGCTTGTCTGCGTATCCGCTGATCTTGCGTGCGATCTGCGTCTCTTTGAGCCACGTCTCGAGCGTGACGAGGTTGATCTGATCCAAGCTGCCAGCCAGACCGCGCACGAGCTCGGCCGCCGACATGACCACCTCGGCCTCGCCCTTTTTCGCGGCGTGCTGCGAGAAGAACGTCGACATGGCCGCGAGCAGCTTGCGCACCTTGCGCAGGTTGGCCTCGTTGGAGCCCTTGAGGCGCAGCGCAAAGCGGTCGAGGTAGGCGTCGATCTGGCGTGCGGCTTGGGCGATCTGGCGCGAGTCGATGCTGACCGAGTGCGTGCCGAGGATGGTGTCGATGAGGTTGTGCGCCTCGTCGATGAGAACCACGCAGCCCTCGAGACTGATGCCGAGTGCCTGGCGCGCGTCTTTCTGCAGCAGCAGGTTGTACGGCAGCGTGACGAGTTCGGCCTGCTTGGCGCTGGTGCGCGCCGCAAAGTACGGGCACGTCTTGGTGTCGCGGCCCAGCTGAACGAGGTCTTCGATGTCGCCCACCTGCGCCATGGCCGCGTCGCGGAATTCGAGGATCTGCGCACGCCCCGCCAGATCGAACGACGGCAGCGCTGCGCATTTGCCTTTTTTCGCTTTCATCAGCTCGAGGCATCGCTCGTTCATCGCCTCGGTGCCCTTGCGTCGCGCGATGTGCTGGACGGAATCGTTGATGCACATCTGCTTGCGACTTCCGAGCGCGATCGTCCGCACGGGCAGATCGGCCGGGTTGAGAACGTCCACCTCACCGAACGAGGTTTTTTTCAGCTCGGCGACGAACTGCGATAGCTGCGAATGGGTGCGGCTGGCGTAGATGACGCGTGGAAGCGTCTCGGGTTCTTCGTCGTCGTCCTGGCCGCGGTGGTGCGTCTGCTCGTACTGCTGCATGAGCGCGCGCACCGCCGGCGAAAGGTTGTCTTCTTGCTGGACCGACGATTCGGACAGGGCTGTGCGCGTGTATGTGGCCAACCGCAGCGCCCTTGCACCCTTCTCGCCCTCGTCTTGGTCGATGAGCAGGTCGTCGTCCGAGTCTTGTTCTCGGTCTGCATGGTTGCGGGTTTCGGGGATGGATCCGTCCAGACGCCGCCGTTTGAGCGCCGACTGCCGGGCGCGCGCCGCCGCAATACGTTCTTGAAGTTCGAGCTCGTGCGACTCGTGCGCCTTGCGCTTGCGGTCCTGAGCGTGCTGCACCACCCAATCTGGCTCGTCGTCCGAACCGCGTGCGCTAAGGCCGTGGGTGCCTCGCCTGGCGTTCTGCCGGAGCCAGGTGAACGCAGCACAGATAAGCGACAGCGACTTGCCCGTGCCGGTCGGACTTTCGAACAGACCCACTTTCCCGTCCTCGATGGTGGAGAAGACCTGGCGCATCAGGTCGAGCTGGATCGAGTAGGCTTGCGGGTATGGGAAGGAGAAGTCGCGCGATGCGAGGGTGGGATCGGATGTGGCACCGGGAACAGGCAGCTTGAGCCCGCTGTTGAGGTCGACCATGGTACCATTGCGGACGGCGTGGGGGCCCAGATGTAAGGCTACAGAGTGGATGAAGGCGGCATCCAGCGCCGAGACAAGGCTAAGAGGAGGCAAGAAAGGAAAAAAGGGTTCGCTCCTCCACGCTCGCGGTGTTGTTCTCGGGCAGAGCCGACGCGTAAAGTGGCTCAGCCATCGCGGGTCGAATTTCTTCGCGCTGAAAAAAATGCGCCCTAACAGTGCTCGAATTTTGGCTCCGATGCTCCCGGCTGTCAAGCTTCTTCTCACCTTCTGCACGGACGATGCTCGCAGCCGACAGACATTCAGGGGTTGTTGGGGGATCGAATCAAGCGAGAAAGAAGAGTTTCAAAGTACAGCAGAGCGGAGTCTATCCTTGGACAAGGGGAATACAAGACATGGCAGCAGGCAGAGCGCATGCAGCAGGCATGTTTAGGCGGCGGTGAGAGGGGGCGGGAGCTGGAGGAAAAAGTAGCAACGAGCCGGCCGATGGACGGTGGGAGTGACATTGTCATGGTGTGAGCATGAGACCTAGGGGGGATGGGGGGGTTGTGCAGAAACGTAGAGACAGTTGAAGAGGAGGGTTTGCGACATCTATGAAGCACGTTGAGGCGCGCGCCGTGCCCAAAGGGCGAGGGCGACGGCGAAAATTAGCCCTTGTGCGTCTTGAAGGCGACAAGACCGGCGAGGGCGATGCCGTAGCCGACAAACTGGAGACCAGTGACGGTGTCGCCGAGGAGGAGCATGGAGCCGAGGATGAGGAGGATGTCCTTGATGACACCCGCGAGCGTGAGGGTCAAGGAGCTAGCGGCGCCGATGAGGAAGACAGCGGCGATGTTGAGGCCAAAGGCGACGCCAGCGTTGGTGAAGAGGACGAAAGGGCCGAGGTTGGAGATCTGGAAGAAAGGCAGAAGACCCTCGGTGAAGGGAAGCACGCAGGCGTTGATGGCGGCGCAGACGGGCGCAAAGTAGTAGAGCGAGACGAGGGGGTCCATCTTGAGACCCTGGAGGAGCACCTGGATCATGACGAGACGCGACGACTCGAATGCGATGGCGAGCACCTGGCAGATGAAGCCGGACATGGCAAAGTCGCCCTGGCCGTAAGAGGCGAGTGCGACACCAAAGGAGATGCAGCCGACGATCATGGTGAGGGAGCCAGAGAGCTGCTTGAGGCCGAAAGCGAACGAGATGAGCAGGACGGCGACGGGGGTGAAGGCCTTGAGCATCTGGATGAAGCTGACGCCGAGGGTGAGGTAGGCCATGTTGCTGAAGATGAGAGAGCAGGAGAAGAGGGCGCCGATGGGGAGGATGTTCTTGACCCAGCGTTCGTTGGTCATCTCGACGTTGGCGAGGCCGTCGAGAAGGTGGGTGTATCGTGCGAGCAGCCTTGTCCCGACAGTGGCAAATGCCATGTGGAAGGTTGTGAGGAAGACGGGGAAGGGGAAGTTGAGCTGGTTGGGGTCGAGGACGAACCTGTCGGCAAAGCGAAGAGCAAAGAACATGAAGCAAAAAGCAAAGGGTGGTCAGAAAGAGGCGGTTGTGAAGATGGCATGTGTGTGTGGGGGGTACTCACTTGTTGTAGACGATGACGCTACTGGAGAGAGCGATCCAGAGGACGATGATGACGGCGGGGTGGATCTTCTTCTTGTCGTTCTTGGGCGCGCCACCGGGGAGGATGCCGCCGGTGGGCTGTGCGCCCATACCGCTGTGGCCGGGGGTACCCACGGAGGGGGTGCGGTGTCCGGTGATGGGGTCGTGGCCGGCCTTCTCGTCGATCGAGAGGCTCTGCATGGGGAGCGCGGTGTGATCCTTGGACATGGTTGCGGAGGTGCTTTGAGGGGTCGTGGTGTTGACGATGGTGGTGGTGGAGAGGAAGATGGATGGCGAGGTGATGGAGGAAGGGGATGGTGAAGCGTGCGTGCGTGCGCAATGAGAATAATGCGTGGGCGCGGGCGAGAATGTTCGTGCGTGCGTTGGTTTGGTTGCGTTCGATGCGGTTTGGCTGATGGAGCCGCTGTTGCTCTGTGGATTACGTTGGTCGCGACTCCATTGCTCGTCGCCTTGCCCGACAGCAGAGGATCGCCGAGCGCAAAACGCGCCAGACATGCAGCCGCCAACCTGCAAAAATGCAATTTCAGCTGCCCGCGTCACTCCGGCTGCATGCGCTGCGCACTGGAACCGTCCAAAAATTTCCCTTCCTTCGTGCATGACCGAGGCAGGTTTTTCTCTTTTTTTTTTTCTTTTTTTTTTGGTTTTTCCCGCACCCGACCCCACTCACGATCGATTTGCAGGCGAGATGAGGATTCACATTTTCTCGAAAATCGAACCCGCCCTGAAATTCAGCACTGCCCATCAGCGAACTGTCGAGTCTTGCCTACAGTAGGTCGAGAGATGCGATGCCCACGTTGATATTTGGCTGGCCCGTCGGTAACTTTCAGTAGCCAAAAAAAGCAAGGGCCCCGAGCGTGTTGGCTGCACGCCGCACGCCACACACTGCCGCTTCGCCCGCCCGCTTCTCAGCATGTCGGCTTCGCTGCGGAGCTCCGTGGCCGACAGCATTTTCCAACGGCTTGACCGCCGAGGCTGAGAATGAATCGACTTCCGATGTTCTGATGCCATCCCCTGCCTCGCCAGCAGCAAGCGCTTCACGAACGTGCACATGCACATCCCACACCCACGCCGAGCGCATCCGCCACAGCGAGCGCTGCTCCGAGCGGCATGCCGACGCCCCATCCTCGCCCGAGCCGGATCGACGGGCTGCAGCTGCGCCTGCACCCTGCTTCCCTCCTGTCCTCTCTTGACCCGGTCCGAAACGTCCCGCGCCAGTGGCGTTCGTCCCAGCCTACAGTGGCCACAGTGGCCCCCCTTGGCTCTCCCCAGATAAGGCAATGCGAGCGATGCAGCGCCGCTGTGTGCTTCGCACGTCGATCAGCGGCCATGTGCGGCTCCTTCGGCAACGGGAGACGCGCTGTCGCCGGCAGATGAATTCGCACGAGAGACTAGATCACTGCATGCGACCGACAGCTCTTATCATCCGTCAACGCCGGGTCGAATCCCGCCGGTCCGCCGAACGCGTTTTTTGAATCGATGTTAGCCTCCGTCGACGCACATGTGAGCCTGTCGGCCGGTCGACACGCGTCGAATCGCTGCGTAACGCGTGTGCTGTTCAGAGCTCAGGGGCGGCTGCCCGTTCCAGAAAATCGCAGCCTAAAATCGTTGGAGTCCAACACGCGCCGCTCGCCTAGCCTTGTCCAACGCTTGGACCTCGGACCTTGGACCCTGTCGCTTCCACGCATTGACGAGTGACACCTTGCGCCAACACCATCGTCGTCACGCACGTCGGTGGCTACTCGACTCCCTCACCTGCGCCTTTCGGCTCAACAGGGCACTCGCAAGCATGCTTCCTGCCTCGCCCTGATCTCAGCTCGAGCGCATCCTCCTGTCGCTGGCCTCCATCGCGCGGCTGATTGACAAGAATGTCCTCGTCGCCCTCCATCGTCGCTCTCGTGGCGCTGCTGCTGCCGCCATTGCTCCTCAGCGCAGCTCTGCGCCTCCACTGGTCCAGCTTTCTGTGGGTGACTCCTCTCCTCCTATTCATCTGGTCCCTTCTCCTCGTCGTCGCATATCTCTTTGCTTGCCACGTCGCCAACGTCAAGTCTGCCAGCTCTTCTCATCCTGCCAACGACCAACTCCGCTCGTTGCCACGACTGGCCTTTCTCACACAAGCTGCTTGGTCGGCGCAGCGCACTCGCTTGAAATGGGCTCGCGATCCCCACTCCGCCGCTTCCGGCCTTCACACGAGCCACGACACCTCTTCGCTCTCCTACGCACTCGACGACGTCATCCAACTCATCCTTCGCGACTTTGTCTGCAAGTGGCATACGCCTCTCGCCTCCGGCTCCGAACACCCTTCTATCAACGATTCTGCACCCGAGTTCCCTGAGGCTGTCAAAGATACCCTCCAAGACGCACTGCACAGCCTCGCATCCCTCGCTTCCCGCATCGACCATGCCGATCTCGTCGTTCGCAAACTCATGCCCCGCATCACCGCCCACATCCACTCCTACCGTAAAGCAGAGATCGACTTCCGCGGCGCTTCCGGACAAACCCATCTGGCAAACTTTGGGAGCGACCAGTCCGACCTGTTCCTCGCCCGCAAATTCGAAGATGGTCACCTACACCCGGCCGTCGGCGACATGAGCAGTCCGCATACAAAGCCATCAGAGCAAGCCTACCTCAGAGCCATCTCGGCTCGCATGATCCGCGCCGTCATGCCGTATCCAGAAAGCGAGAGTCCCTCGGTGCACATCCTCGTCCGTGAGGTGGTCAGCTGCACCGTCCTTTTCGCTGTCATCGAGTCCATTTGCGATCCCGACTTTTGGAACAACCTGCTTGAGCAGAAGGCAGGCGCCGTCATTCACGAGAAGATCCTGGTCGGAAAGCTGCGTGAAGCCCTGGATAAGCAGGATGCCACCTCGGCCTCGCAACCCGGTCGATCGCGTTCCGTGCCCTTTGTCGATATCGATGCCAAAACCCTGCTGCCCTGGACCCAAGATGCCAAGAAGCCCGACCAAAAGTCCTTCGACGCCTTCCTCAAGTCCATCAAAAGCGCTTCCTCTCTTCTCGAAGTTCGCAGGACCAAGAACGACATCGCCGTTCAGATTCGCAAGACAAAGTTCAACCTAGAGCGCGCCTCCGATGACTCCCGCGATGCCTCTCGCGCCAAACTCCAATCCTACCTCCACCGACTCGACACTGCGCATTCCGTAGCGGAGCAAAGAATCGCGCAGCTCAGCGTGCACAAGGGCGTTCCAAACGTCTCGTCCAAAGCTTCCGCCGGTGCAGACCCCAACGCCTCTCGAGTCAAGCTTCACGACGTGCTTTCTAATCCTTCCAGCCTCTCCATCTTCATGGAGTTCATGGATCGTCGCAAGAGGTCCATCTTGGTCCAGTTCTGGATGCTCGTCGAGTCCTTCAAGAACCCACTCGAAGACTCGGACGCCGACCCGCTCGCAGAGAGGGAACAGCTCAACGCCGCTGCCAGGGCTGACCCGCCATCTCAAGCCGCCGTGCAGACGTTGAAGGAAGATCTCCGCATGTTCGACTCGGTCTACTACTCTTCGCCCGCCATCAAGGTTTCGCAACAGTACATCGACAGTGCACGCCAGTTCTTGAACGCCAACGACGATGCTCCCATCACCGCCCTGCACGTCTGGCGCGTCAGGCGCGATGTCCTACGCGCACAGAAGCAGGTCTACCAAGAGATCGAGGACGAGGACTGGCCTAGCTTCCGCGAGGGTAACTTGTTCATCAAGGCGGCTCAGGACCTCAATCCCAACCCGCACCTCGCTGCTGGCCTCGCATCCAGCGTCGGTTCCCTCTCTGCAGAACCGCAGCCTCGCCTTCACAGTCATGCGGCCGCCTCAACAGAAGTAGCACAACGACCCGTCATCCGCCCGTCAAAGCCAAGCTTTGAGCATGCTGATCTGTTCGGCACAGATACCCCCATCGGACCGGAAGCAAAACACTCGGACCTTTTCGGCGACTCGCTCGGCGGAAGCAGGTCCAAGGCGAGTGCCAAGTCCGACAACCTCGACATCCTCATTGGAGGAAGGACGCAGCACGTGGGTCCGGACGGAAGGACCCCGCTCTTTCGTGAGGACCCGCTCTTCGACGAAGCCGACGAAGCACACGACGACCAACTGGCCGAGGATCATCGCGGCGACAGCAGCTCTGACTTCATCCATGTCGAAAAGATCGACGAACTTCAGACCGTGCTGCAGAGCATCATCGACGATGACCTCAGCAAAAGCGGCAACCGCCAGCCATTTGCATCTCTCGGCCCGAGTGCTGCCAAAACGGCCAGGTTCGCCATCGACGCCGAGCTTTCCAATGGCTCCGACACCAACAGTCCTCATCGAAAGGCGGGTGATGCAGGTAATGCAACAACGCTGGCCGCAGAGAACAAGGCCCGAAATGAGGACGCATCCCCGCACGGTGCGCTCACCAGCATCGGTAACCTGCCACAAGAGGTGCGAAGGCTCGACATGCATCTCGAAAAGCTCGAAGCACAAGCAGAGATCCTGGATGCCCTCGCCCGAAAAGCAGAGCTGACTGGAGCTCGACCCAGCGAAATGCGCCTGCTGGCACAGTCGGTCCAAGCGGTACGCCGCGAAGCGCGCGACACTCGCTGGCAACGCAACCAGCTCGAACAGCAACTGGCTGCGAGCCAGCTCATTCCCGGCCACACCAAGATCTCGATCCAGGACACGATGATCTCGACCGACGACGAGGGCAAGGAATTTGCCGTCTACCTGATTGAGATTGGCATCACCGAGCCCGGGGCGGGTAGGTCGAAAGGTGCAACGAAGAGCGCTGATGGTAGCCCCACGGCGCGCGGCTGGATCGTTGGGAGGAGGTACTCGGAGTTCTGGTCTCTGCACCAGTCGCTCAAGGAGCGTTTCGCAGAAGTGCGCGCGCTCGAATCCGACTTTCCCGGCAAGCGCCTGGTCGGCCTCGTTCACGCGCCATTCGTAGACGCAAGGAAGGCGGCGCTCGAGAGGTACTTGCAGGCTCTCGTCAGGCTCAAGGTGGCATGCGAAAGCGAGGAGCTCAGACACTTTCTCTCGCAGACGCCTTCGACTCCGATCTCCAGTCTCGACACGCGCGTTGCTGAGGATGGCGGTCACGTAACTCCGCCGCAACCCAATTCGACGAGCGCAACGCCAGGCAGGAAACCTCCGGCAGGTGGCGGACTTGTCAAGACGCTCTTCAAGGGCATGACGGGCGTTGCAGAGGGTCTCGATGACCTCATTGGGATCGGTCCATCGATGCTGGATGTTGTGGTGCAACGACTGTCGACGCAGGTGCAAAATAAGTCGGGCAACTCGCTCGTGCAGGGTATCGCGGACATTGACATGGTCTCGCAGGCGATGGACAAGAATGCTACGCCCGCCGAGCTGCGCGAGGCCGCCGGTGCAGGCACCACTTACTGGACCGAGCCCATCTGCGATCTCTTCACCGAGGTCTTCGAGCTGCACGAGAAGAACAACTGGCTGCGACGCCAGGCGATTGTCATCCTCCTTCAGCAGCTATTTGGCTCGACCGTGGAACGCAAGATTCGCGAGACGTTCATCACGGCACTGGCGCCTCCATCGCTAACGAACTACGTCGCGACGTTCAAGGCGAGCCTGTGGCCCAAGGGGGTGCTCAAGCAACCCACGCCCCCCAGGACTGCGGCCGAGAAGGACGCGCTGAGGGAAAACGCAAATAGCAAACTCGCAAGCCTCATTCCCGAACTCGCGGCCAACTTTGTCGGTCGTGAAAACGCACGAAAGGGTACCAGGCGCGTCTTTTCGGCGCTCCAGAACAAGAGGCTCAACAAGCATCTCGTCTACAGCCTGTTCGATATCGTTGTCGACGAATTGCTCGCTGCAGCAGACGCGCCATCAGCAGCAGGTACGGCTCCCGCCACATCGGCAGCCTAGCTTCTCGTCATTGCAACGGAATTATTGATCGCAGATTCGATGCCGTCCGAATCCATTTGTGCGATGCCTGATGGTTGTGCCAAGCTTTCACGACCGCTTTCCGCTCGCCTGGGTAGGACTGGACAGCGCTGTAAAGCTCTCGCAGCTCTGTGACCCAGTCGTATCAGCGATGAGACAGATGAACAAAAAAAAAG